ACATAGCAACCTTGTGAGCCTAGCTAAAGGACTCCCACTCATCTACATCATTGACTCATCATCATAGTGAGATTGGGAGTGATCCAAGTGCATTGCTTGAGTGATTGCATCTAGAGGCACTTAGTGATCGTGTTTTCATCATGGATTTCGCTTGTTACTCTTGGTGGTTGCCACCACCTGGGCGGCTTGGAGCAACAAGGATCGTTGAGTGGAGGAGGTGATTGTCTCCGACTCCGATCGTGGTGATTGTGAGGGTTCTTGACCTTTCTCATGCGGAGCGCCAAAAGGTACTCTAGTAAATTGCTTGTGGCTTGTGTGATCCTCATCTTGTGTTGGTTGTGCGGCACCCTATTGAGGGTTTGGCGAGTGATGCTAATCGGTACCGCGTGAACCTCCAAGTGAGTGAATCGCCACAATGAGGACTAGCTTGCTTAAGAAGCAAGTGAACCTCGGTAAAAATCATTGTGTTCATCATTTGATCCCGAGGTGATTGGTCTACATTGGTATTCATTATTGTGATTGATTGGTTCCTACCACTACACGGCGGTATAACTCTCTTGCTCACTCTTACATTACATAAACTAGTTATCAAGCTCTTTAGTGTAGCTAGTTGTGAGAGCTTGTTTGTTTGATTAGTGTTGCTCTTTAGTTAGTCTTTGAGAGCACACTAATTTAGCTAAGTGTCATAGCTATTGTGTGGACATACACTATTCGAAATAGAATTGTGGTAGGTGGCTTGCATTTTAGTAGACTAGCGCAACACTCGCTTCACCGCAAAATTGTCTAACATATTTTGTTAAGTGTTGTTGTAGAATTTTATTAGGCTATTCACCCCCCCTCTAGCCATTAGGACTTTCAACCATATATATAGACGAAACCACCTTCACCATTAATGCTACTAAACCAAACAACTGTAAATGAATTATACTTACGTCTGTAAAGCAAATTTATTGAACCTTTAAAGCTACTAAAAAGTATGTGTCATCATTTCATCTATGAGTAGTCATTCCATCCGAGAACTGAAAAGCCTAGATGCTCAAACTAAAAAAGCCTACAACTACGTCCAAGTCATTTCATCTGTAAAGCCTATTGTTCATAGACTAGATGCTACAACTGAAAAGCCTATGCTATACATGCATTAATTTCATCTATAAAGGCCGGTACGAGTAGACCTGAAAAGCGCGGTACAATGCATAGTTGATGTGACAACACACTGCACATGCTACACCGCTTGCATTTAGTAACCATGAAAAGCCTACAATTCATACTCGTTTCAATAGCTCAAATGCCAAATGTGCTCAAAAGCCTCCGAAGTTTCGTAAATGGATACAGTATTCCTTACATGGGTTCAAATGAAACACAGGTGTGGGGGGTATGACCCCGGATACCCATGGCAGACCATATGGGCTGCGCCCCTAGGGGCGGCCCAGCCCATCAGACGAAGCCTTGCGGGGCACGACGCTGCTCGACGCCTCCCGCAAGACACCGAAAAGATATCCTGAAGATACTACGAGATCTGTTAGGATACGTATGATCCCATGATTCATGTAATCTGTTATTATTTTCTGGTTATTTCCCAGATCTAACCGACTTGTAATCCTGCCCCCGGACTATATAAGGCGGGCAGGGATCCCCTTCAAACACATGCAATATCATACGATAGCCAATACAATCCAACAGACCACAGGAGTAGGGTATTACGCCATACTGATGGCCTAAACCTGTCTAACTCATGTGCCTCTGTTGCCTTCTTGTTCTTGATTACACGCATCTCTACCGATCAATCTACCTTCGTGGGATACCCCTCGAAGTACTGCCGACGATATTATGTCGACAAGACAACACAATGAAAGGTCTAGTACATACCAGCATTGTTCACTATTAAAGCATGGAACTACCAAATCTAAAGCATGGAACTACCACATGGTGTAATCAGAAATCCTCAGTCAGAAATATACTGAGTAAGCAACTCGTCGTCTGAGTACCAATCCTCTACCACAACCTCGTTGCTGTGGGTAGGCTCACTTGCATTGTCCTGATTTACCTGTCGCTTGTAGTAAGCGGCCTCCGCTTCATCTATGGCCTGAGACAAAAACGCATTCTCCTCTACCTTGTTCATGTGGCTAGGCTCACCTACATTGCCCTGATCTGCCTATCGCCTATTGTAAGCGGCCTCCGCTTCATCTACAGCCTCTGCGGCCTGATAGAAGAACGCGTTCTCCTCCGTCGGCAAGCCCACCTCTGCTAGAGCGATGAGCTCACTCAGTCTGCCAATATCGTACTCATCCTCCTCCGCTTGCAAGCCAACCTTCGTTAGAGCGATGAGATCGCTCAACCTAGCAGTGTCGTCCTCATCCTTGTCCCCATCATCAGGCACCACAATCGGAGATAGAACGGTGCGACAAGCTCGCGTTCTGTGCTCATCTAACTTTTTTTTTCTAAAACCTTGCACAGGCCACCTCTGCGGCATGGTCCTCGCTGCATCCAATCCCTTTATGTATAAAATACAACCAGATAGCAACACGATTATATTACATTTCAAATCAGACAACGAAAATAACAAGGCTTTCAATCACTTACTGACACACAATGCAACAACATGGTCGTTCAAGACATGCATCTGTACTCTTGTCTCCTCCCTTGCCTCCTTCCTTGCCCTCTCCTCCTCTAATACCCTCCGTCTCTCTAACCTCCATTTGTCAAGCCTAACACCGATCGGGTTACGAATACCGCGTTGTCTAGCAAACTCACGCATTTCCTTCTCCCGCTGTTTAACGAAATCGTTGACGTACCGAGGTCCATATCCCCTCTTCCGTGCAATTACTTGCCTCTCATTTAAGTCATCCAAAAACTTAGCTTGACCATCATAAGATTCCCACTTGCATTTCCTAGTGCTATGTTCAAACGAAAAATTAGATCACAAGTCTTTACAGAAGAATAAGATACGATTTCATGTTTTGCACAACAATAACCAACCTCATCATAGTCAACCATATGGCCGCACTAATGGCCGATTCCAAGCTTTGAAGGGACTAGGCTGTAGTTGGCTTTAACACCACATTCGCACGTCACAGGAGGTGCTTTGATGATTATCCTTTCTTTTTTCTTTTTCGTTGCCTTTAGCGGCTCCGACCAATGATTCTTAGGACCATAGAGCCACTCCTTAAAATGACACTTCATAAATCCATACACCTAAAAGAGGAGATATTAGTACACGCACACAGAGCTAAACATTTAAACAGATACATTTTTCACTTACTTTGTGCTTGTTGGGACACAAATTCCAACGTATTCTCAGGGTTTATCATAGCTCGATCTTCACAATCGCACAAAGGAGGTTTCTCGAGTCGTCTAACTACGACTAAGTGCTTCTCTTTAGCTGTCATTGGCGAGGGGTTAGAGGGAGGTGGAACCCATCACTAGAAGTGTTCCCGTGGGTGTCTCCCTCTCCACCAATCGTCGAAAAGAAGGTACCTTGGATTAAACTTGTCTGGACCGTCGATCCACTAAAAGAAAAAACACCTCTAATGGGCCTACACAACAAGATTCCAAGAAAATATTAGTAACCTACTAACACAAATGAAGAAAAAAGGTACGGAAATAATTACTTACATTAAAATGACTGCATGTGTAGAAGCAACGCGCCACTGTGTCCAGATGTCTCGATTGAAACACGTCGGCCAGGAAACCACAGTCATAGTTAGGGACAGAGAGGTCAGGAGGGATGGGGGCATCTTTGCTAGACACGTCGGGGTATAATTCTCTAGGACGACTCCGTTTTGGCTACAACTGCTTCCGATACATATCTTGCATCTAACAAAACGGTTGTAATTGAACACCAATCAAATGATGCTGATTATATTAAACAAAAAATAAATACTAAAGCAAACTAAAGGTGAACCATTTGCATTACAACTAACCCTAATGCAATCAATAAAAAACTAACCCTAATCCACCAATGAACAACTCACTAAGCAAAGGAAACAAAGTATACCACGATAAACATGCATTTGAGGCCTAGAATCAATTAAGGCCTTGTTTAGTTCCCCCCTAAAGTTTACTCCTTATCCCATCGAATGTTTGAAAATATGTATAGAGTATTAAATATAGACTAAAAAATAACTAATTGCACAATTTACGACTAATTTGCGAGACGAGTCTTTTAAGCCTAATTAGTCTATGATTTGACAATGTGGTGCTATAGTAACACATGCGCTAATGACAGATTAATTAGGCTTAATAAATTCGTCTCGCGGATTACCGACGGATTCTGTAATTTGTTTTTTATTAGTATCCGAACACCCCATACGACATCCTCATGTGACACCCGATACGACATCTAAAAACTTTACACTCTGGATTTAAACAAGGCTTATGACATAGTTGCCTCAAATGACATCAACCAACCAATCAAAACCTACTATTCAAAACAAAAACAACAAATGCAACCAAATCTAACCGGATAAAATGAAAGAGGTCAAGAAGGACCACCTTGGGCAAGCATCCAAAACCTCGTTTTGGCCTCCTTATACCTGCATTTAGGGTTTAGGGTTCGTGGGAACAGACGGACACAAAAAATGCACCAAGGAAAGGAGAGAATGGAGGATGAAGGAAGAAAGGGGCCGCGGCACGGCCTTATGTGCCCAGACCTCGGCGTTGAATCATGCCGCGCCGAGGTATGTGGTTCGGCGTTAACTGAGCCCACGCCGAGCTCTGTGGGCCCTAGTGCCACGGTAAATACTACGACCGGAGTCAACGCTGATGTGGCGGTACCTCGGCGTCAACTAACACTGCGCCGAGCCACAGACCACGGCGTTGTGTCCTAACACGCCGAGTGTTTAATCTATTTCCAGAAAATGTTTTGCCAGGAGTTATATGTATAAAATGTTTTAAAAAAGGACCAAAATACAAAAATTTCACATGCCAAACCAAACCAAACCATTTCTTTCCGTTAAACCCTAGCCAAAACCCCTTCTGCTCCCCGCTCGCCGCCCGCCACCATGTCGATGGCGGTGGCCTCCTCCCTCCGCTCCCTGGCGCGCCGCCGACCCCGCCTACGCTTGCCCGCTGCGCCGCTCGTCGTCCCCAGCGGCCGGGCGGCATTACTCTCCGGCACGGTCGAGGAGGCGGCCCCGCTGGCTGCCGCGGAAGCGGCGGCGGCGGCGCCGCCTGCCCCGGGTCGGAAGGTGCTGGAGAGCTTCCGGGAGGAGTTCGAGATCGGGGGGCGCTCCATCGCCTTCGAGACGGGAAAGATGGCGCGCTTCGCCAACGGCTCCGTGGTGATCTCGATGGAAGACACCCACGTCCTCTCAACCGTCGCCGCCGCCAAGTCTTCTGAGCCCGTTCGGGACTTCCTCCCACTAACTGTACGGATAACCTCCTGTATTTTTCCTTTTAATGTGATCGTTATGTGAGTTTGTGGAGAGCGTTGAGTTCTACAAGCCCAATTCATGTACCGCAACTTATGAATCTTGCAATTTGATATGGTTCTATACTGCCGTAATTTACCCCCATTCCATGCTCACATTTTAGCTTTCGAGGTTTTATATTGAATTTGGTTCACATTTCACAAGCCTGTTTTATATTGCAGATTAATAACTGTTCTTAACTGTGCAAATAGGGGCCCAACTGGCTTTTTTTTAATATTAATGAAACTAAAAACTGATGCTAGTTGTCAGTTCGATGCATATTGAGTTTGAAATGATTGGAAAACTGCAAAAGCCCCATCTGGTTATGTGGTCAACTAGCTGTGTCGTGTATGGTGTGTTATTTAATTTGTTATTTATTATGATTCTAAATTATAAAAATACTGAATGTTAGGATGTCATTGTCCAAAAAAGAAAATGATCTTTTGTGTTACATTCAAAATGGAAAATTGAAGTTTTGTTTGTCCTTGCATTTTTAATTGAACATTCGTTCTGTATCTTGTGAGTACTATTTTTGTGTTTCTTTGCCTCAGCAAAGTTTTTCGTTTCTGGGTGGCTGTAGGTTGACTATCAAGAGAAACAATATGCTCAAGGTGTTATCCCCACAACATATATGCGCAGGGAAGGTGCTCCTAAGGAAAGAGAACTCCTGTGTGGGCGTATAATTGATCGACCAATAAGACCATTGTTTCCTCCTGGCTTTTACCATGAAGTTCAGGTATTCTTCTCATGATGCGTCAAATTCTCAAAGTTGGCTAAACCATCAGAACTCATAGCTAACATTATATCCTGCTTTTTTAGATCATGGTAAATGTTCTTTCATCAGATGGAAAGCAAGATCCAGATGTAATGGCTGCAAATGCCTCTTCAGCTGCACTAATGCTATCTGATATTCCTTGGAATGGGCCGATTGGAGTAATACGTGTAGGGAGAATTAATGGGACTTTCGTCTTAAATCCTACAGTGGATGAGGTAAATTGGATCGGTTTACTGACATAGGAATCATTGTGTTCTACCCTGAGTTGTGCATGTATTGTTTCCATGATATTGTATATTTATACTGCTTGTGGACTTGATATTTCTCTACCATTTCATAGCATATCTGAACGTCTCAGTTACTTTTGACCATGTATATTCTACACTACTAGAAATTTGTCTGGTTGACTCATATTTTGTGTATGTTATACGGTGCTTTGCAGCTAGGTTTGAGTGATCTCAATCTTGTTTATGCATGTTCACTGGATAAAACTTTAATGATAGATGTACAAGCTCGTGAAATAACTGAGAGGGATCTTCAGGCAGGAATGAAGCTTGCACACTCTGAGGTATTTTCTTTTGTCTTCTGCTTCTTGATATATTGGATGCGTATTCTCATGTGTTCGTTATTATGCTCAGGCAATTAAATGTATCGACCCTCAAATAAGGTTGGCTAAGCGAGCTGGCAAAGAGAAGAAAGAATACAAGATATCACTGATTTCAGATACATCCTATGAGAAAATTAGAACATTCTCAGAAGCACCCATTGAGGAAGTCTTCACTGATTCATCATATGGCAAGGTCAAGAGAAGCCAAAATATTCAGTGTTGATCATTTCTTTACACACACATTTGTTTTAGGGCCACCAGCAAATGCCTTGAAGTCTTCAGGGCGTGAACTTGTTGGATGTTTTCATTTCAGTTTGAACGGGGGGAAGCTTTAGAAAAGATCACACAATCTGTGAAGGCAAAGCTTGAAGAAGAAAATGATGAGGACAGCTTGAAGTTTCTTCATAAGGCAGTTGACACAGTGAGAAAACAGGTAGCCCACATTAATTTGTTCGGCCAAATTTGGCAAGGAAAACAAATAGCTTTGAGCATAAAATAAATGCATGGATATAATGTTAGTCTAAATTATCCCCCCATGATTTCTGAAGATACTGCTATCCATTAGTTATGGGAATTTCTGAATATCTGTGCAATTTGTTTATGGTTCTTAATAGACTGAGATCTGCATCTCCCAGCTATACTTGACACAATGACACCACTTGATGCCACTTCATTCATTGGCTCATTGCTATAATCTTATTAAATCACCTGTGCTACTGTGTTTTGACATTGGCTTGGTGTCCGATTGTGCAGGTTATACGTAAAAGAATAATTGAAGAGGGACTTAGAGTAGATGGTAGACAACTTGATGAAGTGAGACCATTGTATTGTGAATCCAACACATATCCAGTATTACATGGGTCTGCCCTGTTTTCTCGTGGAGACACGCAGGTGCGCTCTATCGCTTGCTCTCTCTCTACAGTGCACTGTACGAAATGCTACAAGTATACAACCACACATTCACATAGTATTATTTGTCTGAATTTGGATGGACTTAACGAAATGTTGACTTGGAGAAGGCTTATGACAAGATACCAAGAAATGTTATGTGGTGGTCTTTGGACAAACATAAAGTCCCATCAAAGTACGTGACCCTCATCAAGGACATGTACAACAATGTTGTGATTAGTGTTCGAACAAACGATAGTAACACAAATTACTTTCCGATTAAAATTGGACTTCATCAAGGGTCAGCCTTAAGCCCGTATCTCTTTGCCTTGGTAATGGATGAGGTTACCAGGAACATACAAGGGATATCCCTTGGTGTATGTTGTTCGCTGATGATGTAGTGTTAGTGGACGAAAGCCAGGCGGGAGTAAATAGGAAACTAGAGTTATGGCGGCAGACCCTTGAGTCTAAAGGTTTTAGATTGAGCAGAACTAAAACCGAATACATGAGATGCGGCTTTGGCGGAGTTGTATAGGAGGAGGGAGATGTGAGTTTGGAAGGTCAAGTAGTGCCTAAGAAGGATACCTTTCGGTATTTGGGATCGATGCTACAGAGGGATGGAGGTATTGATGCGGACGTTAGCCATAGAATCAAAGCAGGGTGGATCAAGTGGCGGCAGGGTACCACAAAAGCTAAAAGGCAAGTTCTATAGAACGGCGATTAGACCGGCTATGTTGTATGTTGGCCTACAAAGATTCGATATGTTCAACAACTGAGTGTTGCAGAAATGCGTATGTTGCGATGGATTTGCGGTCACACAAGAATGGACCGAGTTCGGAACGATGATATACGTGATCGCCTAGAGGTAGCACCAATTGAAGAAAAGCTTGTCCAACATCGGTTGAGGTGGTTTGGCCATGTCCAAAGGAGACCTCCAGAGGCACCAGCGCATTGTGGAGTCCTAAGCTAAGCTAATAATACGAGGAGAGGTAGAGGAAGACCGAAATTGACATGGAGGGAGGCAATAAAAAGATATTTGAAAGCTTGGGATATACCTAGAGATCTATGTTTGAATAGGAGTACTTGGAAAGCAGCTATTGAAGTGCCTGAACCGTGACTTGGGGCTCTTGGTGGGTTTCAACTCTAGCCTATCCTAACTTGCTTGGGACTGAAAGGCTATGTTGTTGTTGTTTTTTGTTGTTATTGTATATATATACCCATGCAAATAACCAGTACTATGGTTGTAGGTTCTTTGTACAGTTACCCTTGGTGCTCCTGGCGATGCTCAGAGGCTGGATTCAATTGTTGGCCCTCCAACAAAACGTTTCATGCTTCACTATAGCTTTCCCCCATTTTCAATAAATGAAGTAGCCAAACGTGGAGGCCTGAATCGACGAGAAGTTGGACATGGTAGCACTTTTTTTTCCATATGCTAAATGAATTGTCCTGAAATCTAGTTAAATGGATTTCTTGTATCCTCACCTAGTTTGGTTCATATAGAGGCTTACCAACGTGATGGAATTAGTCTTACAATGGTTCCTGTGATAGTCTACTAGTATTATCCTAGCATATAAAAGCTTGGGAACTATCAAATAGTGGATGAAAGCTTGACAATTTGCTGTTGTTTGGGCATGCATGGAGTACTATGATACGCTGAATGCCATTTTCCCCTTCAGTTCTTCTAGATTAAATCCTGTCCTGATTTAGATTTGGATGAAGCAAAATGAAAACCAATATTGCAGCCATTTATTTTATACCATTGTGTAGGCACTCTTGCGGAGAAAGCATTGCTTGCTGTGCTTCCTCCAGAAAGTGATTTTCCATACACCGTTCGGGTAAATTCAGAAGTCATGGCATCGGATGGTTCAACATCAATGGCATCAGTATGTGGAGGTATACCACAAACCATTTTTCTCTTATAATGGTGCTATTCTTATAAAACTCCATCTTTCAGTTGTGGCTTGGAGATGCGTTTTGTGAGAGCTATGCTATTTATTGATATTTCTCTATGGCCTACAGTTTTTTTTGTTTTGTGGAACTTAACTCTAGGTTGGCAACATGGTGCGATTCTTTCATTTGCAAGACTATGTACTTCACTGTGATAAGAAATAGATTGACTGCCTAGTTTTATCCTTCTAGCATAACGAAACTTGTTTTTTGCACCATCTTTGTCATTTCTGACAGATATGCAGCGATAATATGCTTTATATAAGATAATTTATATAGTTTTTATTCATTTCGTATAGGTTCTTGGGTTGATGCGTGAATTTTAATGTAACTACCTTTTCATTGTTACTGTGGTATCCTTGAACAGCTAGTAAATTATTATTTTGTGTTCTTTAATGTTCTGCTATTCTAAATGGTGACTCGCAGGAAGTATGGCCTTAATGGATGCTGGGATACCTGTAAGAGAACATGTTGCTGGTGTTTCAGTGGGTCTTGTAAGTCAAGTGGACCCAGCTACTGGAGAAATTTCTAATTATCGCATATTAACGGATATTCTGGTGAGTGTTTTGCTGCACTTCATTCAAAGATTTTTCAGTCAATTGTATTTGTTGTTTCCACAAATGGAAAAATATTGATTCTTTAAGTGAACATGATAATCAATATTTTTCAGGGCCTTGAGGATCACTTGGGTGACATGGACTTCAAAATTGCAGGAACAAGGAAAGGTATTACTGCTATTCAGCTGGATATAAAACCTGCTGGAATACCATTGGACATAATATGTGAAAGTTTAGAGCCTGCACGTAAGGCTCGAAATCAAATCCTTGACCGCATGGACCAGGAAATAAGTACTGCACGTGCTATTAACGATGGAAGTTCCCCTCGATTAGGTTTGTTGATGTACTTGCTTTGTTGTTTTTGTTTCTAGCATGATATGATTAAGGTTTGAACTGACCCTCCATTTGCAGCTACACTGAGCTTCAGCAGCGATTCTCTTAGGAAATTGCTTTTCCACAGGAAAAAAATTGAGCAAGAAACAGGTATCAAGCTGTCTACATACCTGCCTTTTGTTCATGGTCTTTCTTTGTCCTCATTTGATAAGATGTTTATTGATAGTTTGGTCATTACTTGTTGTTCCAAAAATCATGCTAATGAGTGATGAACTAGAGGTGTTTTTTTTCGAAAAGAAGTGTTTTCGTGAATCTAAAAGCAAATTTGTGAGTAAAATATAAACATATATTTCAATAGCTCAGACAGATGAAGGGAGAAAGCCAGTGGGTATCTGTGATGACAACATTAGTTCATCTTCTAGCATTAGGTGATTACATGGTTATGTACTTCAACTTCAATAGGACTTCATATGCACTGGAAAACATGGTTGAGATGGTTTCATTTTGTTTTTAAGGTGTGGCCTTTTGTTTTTTGTGCATTAGCTATCTACTCATGTGGGTTATGGGTTTGCATTTCTGTGAAAATCACTGAGAATATTAACATGGTTCATCACTAGTTTCCTTTTAGTTTTTTCTTTGAGGGGTTGTACAGTAGTAGGGAAAAGCCCTACTATGGCAAAATATATGAATATATAAAGAGTAGGCAAAGCTGTACAAAAAAACCATCAAGGGTATACTTGGAAACTCTACAACAGGCTGTTTAGCCAATTGAAGAGGCTGTCTAAGAGCGGTCTTCAATCTGTCAAAATGTAGTTTCCTTTTAGTTGACTTGTATATTTAAATGGTTGAGCATTTTTCATATAATTATGCTGGGTTATATTTTGTTAGCTACTGGGTGTTGTAGTTAATCTCTCTCTTCCATTTTCTTAGGTGCACGAGTATCAGTCAGTGATGGTACGGTCACTATTGTTGCTAAAACTCAAGAAATTATGGATAAAGCTATTGAGAAGGTACAAGTGCCTATGACGCCTAATCATGAGAGCCTCAATAGTAATTGCTTAATCATTAATGTACACATGATGTCAGTTTGTGCTGGTTAGAATGTCAAAAGTGCAAGTGTGTCGGAGGAAAAAATAATCTTCATTTAACGAATTCTTAACTTTTCTTCGCTGTAGGTTGAGTTCCTCGTGGGACGTGAAATTGAAGTTGGTCGTACATACAAAGGAATTGTTTCCTCAATTAAGGAGTATGGCGCTTTTGTGGAGTTCAATGGTGGACAGCAAGGCTTACTTCACATTTCAGAGTTGTCACATGAACCGGTATTTCTCTTGAAATTCTGTAATAGAGGGATTGAGGTTGAATAGGGTTCATGCTCTATTCACTAAGATTGTTCCGAATGATATCTGGAAATAGATTGTCAGTACTATCTCCCAGTACATTTAAGTCTACATTTGTTGGTTTCTTGTTAAAGGCAGTTGAATATTTGTTCGCAAATAGTTTAAAGTTTCCTTTGTAGAGCTACAGGCCGAATTTTTGTTGTGTCTTGCATTATATTGAGTGAGAGTCCGTTTTATCAACCCCATTATAACTTATTAGATTGAATACTAACATACCAGCTTTTCACCAGTTTTTAATTACTATATATTTTTTCTATTTTCTTTGTGCAGGTAGCGAAAGTCTCAGATGTTGTAACTGTTGGCCAATCTCTCTCTCTGAGATGTATTGGACAGGATGTGCGGGGTAACATTAAACTTTCACTTAAAGCAACCTTACCCCAACCACGTAGCAAGAAGAATTTGAAAAGTAAGGATCCTTTGCCAAGTCAAGTTAGCGGTTGGGCTGCTGTAGAGAACGTGAGTAGTGTGGATGCTGATGCTGAGCCATCCAGTACCGAACATGGAAATGGCACAACTGAGGAGGCACCTGCGTTTTCGACTCCTTCAGTTATAATTCGAAGTGCTGCTGACTGTGATGCTCAAGATGATGCAAATGGTCCTAAGAAGCGGGCAAAGGCTGCAAAGTCATCTCCTAGACCATATAAACCAGCTAGCGAATGTCATGAGGTTAGGAAAGCTACTGCTAAGAAAGCCACAGGTGCTACTACCAAGAAAACTAAGAAAGTAAAGATTGAGGAATCTGGAAGTAATGGACTGCAAACCAGTGGTTCTGATGTTCCAGAACAGACTGCTGACAACACTTTGGACCTGAATCAGAGTCCCACGAACTTCCAATCTGGGGCAATGAAGTTGGGTGATGTAGTTACAGCAAAGGTCTACCAGATTCGAGCCTTTGGACTAGTACTTGAGTTGAGTGATGGTGCGCGTGGAATGCATAAATTTGAGGTAACTTCGTACAAACTCTTGTGGAAAAAAAACCCGTTTTTTTTGTTCATACTGCTTTTAGCAACACAGTTTTTCATCCCTGTACTCCACCCTTTCAATGGCCACACTATATTAGTAGATTCTTAACCCTTGCATTCTTTCCCCCAATACTCCCAATGAAATTGGTAACTGAAATTCTGGAGCATCTGTTGCAGGCAAATGGCCAAAAGGAATTTGAAGTTGGACAGGAACTACTAGTGAAATGTTCTAGTTTCAACGCTAAGGGGATTCCTGTATTCTCATTGCTGGACTAGTAATGCCACCGTTTGGGTAGTCGACAAGGGCCTTTCGCTGGAGGATTTACGGTGTTAGAGACACCTGTATACGTGTAACAGCCTAGCAGTTAATCAATCAACTAGAGCAACACAGGGCTAGCAAAGTTTTGTTCTTTCGCCGTGGTTGAGCATTGTTCTGAAACATGCAACCATGAATAGAATGGAGGTAAAATTAGGTCCATGACATGTAAGTGTAGAGCGCACGGGACTGTGTAAGAAACATCCGACCCGAACCTGCTGCAGCAATTGTATATTATTAGGATTACGTTACTTATCTATCTATTGGAAATAATATAGACGATGAATATCATTCTTTGTAAGACGCACTAAGCAGTGTCCCCTACTCGGTCACAGCCTCACAGGAATCAAGTTCCAGTTTGTGGTTTCTTTACCTGAGAATGTTCAGCTGTACCTTTATTTTTTCTTTTGATGTCATGAACTCATGATCGTATGATTCCATCACAGGTACGAGTTAAACCTTGACACAACTGCAGGCGGCTGTTCACAAAATTAGATTGTCAATTTTTTTTAGTTTTGAAAAGTTAGCAGGAGCACTGCTATATTTAAGGAGAAGTGTAGAATGCGGGCTCAGATTACATTGCAGTATTACATAGGGGAACTTTGAAAACTCAGATGAAACTGGCCTCGGCTAGAATATCCATGGCTTGCCCACACGCCGCTCTTCTGATTGCTAGTTTGCTACCCAACAGGTCCACACCCAGCACATTTGCATATCATGTCAATTATGTGTGACATTCCGGCGATTTGCCTGGATGTGATGCGTAATTTATCTGAGTTTAAAAAATATATATATATATGTGAGACATTCGTTGGATCATTGGATGGTCCATTGCGACGGCGATATGTGCGGCTATGGGCATAATAGAAGAAAAAAAAGAAAGAAAGAAAGTGCGAGAACGAACAGAAGATGACGATAACAACAGGTGAGTGGACACGGATGCTTGAGAACCCGGACTAGCACCGTATCACTGCACGGCCGCGCAAAAATGCGCAGCGCCACAAATGCATTCCCCGTGCCCGTGCGTAATCGTAGCAGAGGATGGCTAGCTAGACACAGCGATGCCGATGAGCAACACCGGCCGGAGGCGGAGGAGCACGAGGTCCGTAGCCCCTTCGCGGACCACCTCTCCGTCGCCTTCTGGCCGCCGAGAACCGCAGCCGCCGTCCCGGCTTCCCCAGTGGAAGTTCTCCCAGGTCCTCGGTGAACTGCCGCCCGCCGCCGAAGCCCACCGCGACGGCGCTCCCCGTCCCCAGGATGACGACGGTATCTATCAATTAATGTCTGCAAACTCAAACCTCAGAGCTAGCCGCAGCATTTTTGTTGGTTGCTGGACTGATCGGTGCTTTCGCACGCGTGCTTCAGCGGACGAAATCTCGGCCGTCGAGTTCGACGGCCGCGGCGAGTACCTGGCCGCCGGTGACAACGCCGGGCGCGTCATCCTCTTCCGGATGACCGACGACGACGACGGCGACGGCGTAAGCGTCCCTGCTCTCCCGGTGCTAATTCGTACGCGCTTGTTGCGGCCACGGGGTGACTGACTGACGCGGGGTTTCTGTACTACGTACGTCTGCAGGCGCGGCCTCGCGCGGAGCTTGAGCGCGCCGACCGTACCGGAGCTCCGTCGCCGAGGTACAGCTACGCGACGGAGTTCCAGAGCCACGAGCCGGTGGTGAGCCTGCCACCGATCGTATTGTTGTTTTAGTTTCAGACGAGCAGGGTGATCGAAGCGTATATCCTAGCTAGTGCACGCATTCATTCTCTGTTGTTGACCTTGATTCCTGCCGGACTGCCGGTGCAGTTTGACGTGATGCACAGCTTGAGATCAGCAAGAAGATCAAGAGAGTGAGGTGGTGCGCGCGGCCCAACAGCTCCCTGCTCATGCTCGCCGCCAATGACCGTACGGTCAAGCTCTGGAAGGTATTACCGAATGACTGTAACATATGACCCGTGTCCATGCGAAATGGATTGAGTATAACGGATCCTGTAGCTCCAGGGCAGGTCTCCGAATACAAGAAGGCGCCGAAGAAAGGGAAAGATCGGTCGCGTTGGGGGGGCACCACGGCGGCGTTGTCTCTGAAAGAACCCTATTATTCTGAATCTGAATGGGCAGCCACGAAGCCGAGGGGTTCGTCTGGAGACCCTGACGAACGTCCTGAAAAGGTTTACTCGATCTCTGCAGCTAGCATTGCTGGACGATCGCAATGTTCGATCTGCCGATCGAGCTCAGTTAATTTGATCGATGTGCTAGCACTATGTTTACGACTTTGTTGATTGTTTGCTGTCGTGTGTGATTTTATGGCCAGGGAGGTGATGTCGGAGATGGGTACTCTGCGAAATGCCGGAGAGTCTTCGGTCGCGCTCACGAGTTCAACATCCACTCCATCTCGAATAACTGGTTGGCTAGCTTTGTTTAATCGCTGGTTCATTCTGCCTGAAACCCTGCTGATTCTATTCTTGGCAAAGCGATCAAGGTTATTGCTTGTTAATGTACAGCGACGGGGAGACGTTCGTGTCCGCGGATGACGTGAGGATCAACCTGTGGCACCTGGAGGTGACGAGCCAGTGCTTCAACATCGTGGACACGAAGCCCGAGGACATGGAGGATCTCGTAGGTGTGATTTCGTTATTTTTTTCTTACTACGCCCAGGTACTATACTAGTAGCAAATATGTCTAGTTCGTGAAAGGCAACTTAACCGTAAGCAAGCACTGGCACTTACACATCTGAGTGTTGGTTGGGTGATGAAGCAGAGGTGATCACCACGGCCGAGTTCCACCCGTCGTCCTGCAGCCTGTTGGCCTACGGCAGCTCCAGCGGCCTCGTCCGGCTGGTCGACCTGCGTCGATCGGCGCTGTGCGACCACAGCGTGAGAATGTGAGTGACTTCTGCACTCCTCTTCTTGCAAAGCCTGAAAATATCAGTTCGCTTATGCTTGTTTTTTTTTTTTAATTGAACTGTCGCTTACTGAACAGATTACAGGACCGCGAGAACCGCCCTCAGCCCAGCACATTTTTCACTGAGATCATATCTTGCACCACCGATCTAAAGTTCACAGGCGACGGAAAATACCTTTTAACTCGCGACTACATGAACCTCAAGGTATTACTCCATTTGTGCCAAGTACCAACTATGCAGCCTCACTCACTGTGTTGCAGCTCTGGGACCTGCGCGTGGAAACCTCACCCGTCGCAACATACAAAGTGCACGAGTTCCTTCGCCCAAAGGTACGTTCACAACTTATCCTAGTAGCATACTATACTCCTATCCTTCATCGGAATTCGTGGGTCAAATCTATCCAAATTTCAGAACCACCTTTTGGTAGCATCAAAGAAAAGATGACAATTTTTCAGAAAAAAAAATGTTGCTTGTCTGCTGGTGCTGCAGCTGTCGGAGCTGTACACCGACGACTACATTTTCGACAGGTTCAGCTGCTGCGCCAGCAAGGACGGGGCCTACTTCGCTACTGGATCTTACAGGTTTCTACTACTGAAACGCATCAACACCAGTCTATGGTGGTGATCTCGCCGTCTTGGACACTCACCTTTTTTTTTCCTTATGGTTCTTATGATGAGCAGCAATACCTTCAAAGTTTTCTCCCGTGCTGCTGCGCAGACTAGCGGCACTACGTTGGAAGCTAGCACCAACCCTTACAGGTACATTGCATCCAAGATTACTGCTGTTTTTTTTCTCCTCATTTCGAGACAACAATCTAGCGTGCTGTTTATATGAACAAGATCAAACTCCAAAAGTTTTTTATGCCATACCGAGTTATTATATGGGCATATGGCTATGGTTTGCTGCCAAATAACATCAAACTCCAAAGGTCCAAAGTTCATGACTTATGAATACAGTTTTGGCGACTACTGAACCTTGCACTTTGACCACAGGATACAATTACAAGCTCCTACAAAGATTCCAGCGCTGCTCGGCAATTTCTCTCTTGGAGTTAATAGAAAAGGTTAGGGAAGATCTATTTGCCAAGTTTTTCATGTGTGCTTTGAGGCTTTGAGCTCCTCATAGCGTGCTCTGGAAAATCTCGTCGCGCAGGTCAGGATGGTCCGATGTCAGACGGCAAGGAGGAAGTTGCATGCAACATGGCATCAAAGGTGAAGCATCTAGCATGGCACCCGGCAGAAAACTTCATAGTTTGTGCAGCCAATAACAGCTTGTACATGTACCATACATAAGCACACTCCAGTCATGTGTACAGAGTACAAACCACAGAATAGCATTTGTACCTAAAATGATGCCAGAAAAGAAGATGCTTTTCCATGTTACAGTGCATGTCATGAGCAGGATATTGAACTGACTGTACATTGTTCAGGATCTTCAGATCATAGAAAGGAAAAGATACTCTTGTACCGAACAAAAGGGTCACCTCCTTGACTGTCCTTTCTGCTCCTCAATATATCCTTGCAATATTCCTGAATATCGAAGGGTTGACCTGCAAGTCCGACTTGCTTTGTGCATTGAACAGCCTGGAAGCACGGAAGGGGAATGCTGATGCAGGATTTCCTCATCTTAGATGGGCTGTCACGTTGAGCTGCAAATTGGGGGAGTTTTCAACTGGAGTTCCTGTTTTGAAAGGATTTTCACCTGGATTTCCTTTCTTGAAAGGACACTCAACTGGAAGACTAATAAGGATCTTGCTTTTCTCCAGTGGGCTATCGTTTCCGCCCACAAACCCTGGAGAGCTTTCATCTGGAGTTGACACGCCTAGCTGCAAATTGCAGAGAGTTTTCAGCTGGAGTTCTGATCAGGATCTTGTTCTTCTCCAGTGGGCTATCTTTTTCACCCGCGAACCGCAGAGAGCTTTTGGCTGGTGTCATGCTCAGCATCTTGCATTCCTCAGATGGGCTATCCATTTTTCCAAAAAGCATGCGGCTCTTTTCTGGGCTTCTACCCAGGATTCCGTGAACCTAGGCTCAACAGGATCAGAATCTATTGTGGTGGCCTCACCCACATGCAGAGAACCATGCTCTACTCCAAACTGGTCCCTTGATATCTTCATCTTCTTCAGTATACGAGGTTCATAAGAGCTATCCATGGATTTTGATAGCATCAGAGTGGGAAAGTCTTTGGATTTCTTGCCTACGTGATCGAAAATTGTGTTGTCTTTTTGCAAAAAAAAAAAGAAAAAGAAAATTGTGTTGTCTGTGGCACCTTTGCATTCTGCCTCTGCTGGTCCAGGAGCTGATGCAGCTTGCACATGTAAGCAAGATAATGCAAATTTCAGCTAGCTAATAATAAATTTCCAGATTTCAATTGAAGAAGCACAGATGAAGCATAAAGTGCATATAACAGTATACTGTTTGCAGCATTGTCTTACCTCCATACTCTTCTTCAGGCAGTAGTTCAAAGCTTGGGACCTCCCTATAATCATGAAAATAGCACGTTACAAAAATACTGACCAAGGTTCAGAAAACATGACTTGAGTACAAAGTTTTTTTTCTGGAACAAAAACGGCAGGAGCTCTCCCATTCAATTATAAGAGAAAAGAGTGTTCAAAACACATATTACAGGTTGATCCCAAAGACCAAAGGATCTAGTAACAAATCCCCCAAGAAAATAATCTAGGGACCAAAACCATCCAGTACAAAGTTGTGTTGTATGCTGATCTGACACATGCTAAAGGTTGGATAATCCCTAGTCTGATCGGTATTTCAGGTTATGCTGGTGGATGGCAATCAATCCATATATTATTGTCCAACCAAAAAAAAAGATTAAGCACTCACAGTGAAGCCAAGTTGTTTAATTTTCTGGTTCTCAGTGCATTATCAGCTTTCTCAAGAGCACTGATAGCAGCAGCAGCATCTTCTATGACATAAACCTCTTTGGAAAGAGGGCTCTATTCAGTGTGAAAATGAGATCGGTTTGTTCGAGTTGTCCTGGAGCTAACCAAACAAATCTTGAAGGGAGATTGTACGCAGTTTTAAGCTTATCTATTGCATGCTCTTTGGTCACATACTTAACCACAACCTCCACTGAGTACACATAACCACATACTTAACCACAAGCTTATCTATTGAGTACACTGGTTTAAATGGTTACAGACTTGCCGATAAAAAAAAGGGCGTACCCAGTGCAGAGAGCTCCCGCTCTGTGCGGAGTCTGGGGAAGGGTGTCAGTGGCAAGCCTTACCCTCGTCTGTGCAATGCGAGGAGACTGCGACTCGAACCCGGGACCTTCCGGTCACAGGCGGTAGGACTCTACCGCTTGCACCAGGCCCACCCTTCAGTTACAGACTTGCCGATGCTAAAAGAAAAACAATCTTAACCACAACCTCTACTGAGACTCAACATCGAAGGTAAGTATTCTCGGATGGTGATATTATACTACCATATTCTTCAAATATCAGATCAACCTTCAGAGTGACCTGTGCATTCTGGGGGCATGGCACAAAAACTTTTACAGAATATGGGCTGCATTTTAAAAAATTGGCCAGTGAGCAATTCTGGAATAACATATGTTGGTGAAGAAAAATGGATTAACATATCCTAAAATAACAAAAGTTGAAAAGTGTTACCTGTGGAATTCTCGAGCCCTGGAAGAAAGAACCAAAAGAACAACGAACAACCATCCACATCAGCAGATGAAAAATAGATTGTCAAAGGCATTAGATCGGTTTGAGAGGAGAGGCACTGACCTTATATTCTCATGAAAGAGGATCACATTGTCTTCCTCTGAGGCCACAACCTGAAAAATAATGTTATAACATTTAGTTTGTTTTAAAAGCACTCAATGACCCGAAGCAAAGTTAAATAAGGTTCAACTGCGTTTACTGGATCGAACTGCCTGTGATAGACGAGTTAATGTTACAGTAATGGTCGCTTTCCCAAGTCTGTTTCCAGTTTCTTCTATGTCTATGTCAATTTTGGGTGGTAATGATGACATTGAATCTTTGATATGATTCCCAAATGGATAATTGCGTCCTGTGGCCGATTCTATCTTTCTCGCATCAGCAGTTGCCAAGGTCTCAAAGCTATAAATTCCAGCAGTCTTCAGAGCCTAAGGTGGCAAGTGATCAACTCAAGAATTAATTATGCTGGCTGCAGATACAGCAGTGGCTACATAACAATCACAAAATTAATAACCTTTGCTGTTACAATTCCAATCTCAGGCAGTTGTTTCAGCAGAAATGGACTGCTCTCCCAAAGCTTTTGATATGGACTATTTGCAAGGATCATAGAATTTATGGCGGATCTGTAGTTCTTTTTGTATATAAAATATTCTTGCATGCATTTGGCAATCCTACATCCATTTGAGCATATTGAATTTGTTTCCAGCATGGGACATTGGGACCATTTAAGTCAACATAGTAGGAGAGAAAATCAAGGGGTGTTTGAAACTAGACAAGCCAACAACCTGGTTGAGGGATAAATCTTCCCAACTGCAACAGGCGGAAGCTTTGACGATAAGCTTCATTGTATCAAACTTCAGCTAGAATTTTACCATCAGCCTCCCAGGTTCTGAGAATGAACAATTAGATCTTAAAGGAGTCCTTTTTGACGAACAGATGCAAAACAGAAACATGAGGATGAAGCAACTGATTTGCATACTACCATCTCCTAGTAGGAAAATGGAATATATGAGAGCACAGGGATTGAAAATAGTAGAATAATATTCTCAGTTATCAAGTAATGCCAGGCTCCAACTACCATACCTGCATGCCCAACCCTTGAGTTGGGATGAAAAAGAGATAATGTGTATTTGTGTCATTACCGAAATGATCTGAAGGAATCAACACAGTAATATTTCCTATGATGAATGTTCACTGTAATATCTTAGCAGTCGACCCTATGCAACGCCATTTCTCTAGTATTGCTTCTTTGCTATATTATCAAGCTAAACCCATGATACAAACCTGACATACTTTTAGACTTACTTGCTTGGACTGTTAGGCTGATGTTTGTTTTGATGAAACTGTAGGGGAATCCTGTACTGCAGCAGTGTGTCTGTTAGGATGAATGCTAATATGCTATAGCTGTTGTTTGAATAAGCAATGCTTACTGTAAGTCTGCCAAGGTATTAGAACCTCAAGAAACATGGCAGTCATTGCAGAAAATATAGTGAGCTTGGCACAGATTCACAAATACAATGCATGATGTCTATGCGAAATTGATCCATGCACTGTTTAAATCTACATGATATATACAGTAACGCAATGCAAATCATATTGGGGTGGGTGGGGGGGGTGGCAACATTTCCAGATAAGAACTCTAAGGACTTAGACATACAAATCCAACAAAACCCAGCTCACATAATACTATTTATTGTTCCACAATTCTAAAATGTTGAAAGGGGGTAGGGAGAGCGTATCCAGACCAATACAATTAGTTAGTCTTCATGGATCTCAGGATCTGGCTGGTTGATATTTATAACATACAATTTGAGGCTACAGTCTAGTTGGGTTGGGTGCATCCAGCACATAAGTTCTACAGTACATTGCAACAAAAAACAGTGAACGCTATTTAACCTAAGAATGGTCAATCATCCTGCTCAACCTTCACACTCTGCAGCTTCGAATCCAGCTCGTCCTCGTTGTCCTCAGCATCCTCGTCCTCTTCCTCATCATCAGGCTCCCCGTCAGGTTCATTCTCATCTAGTGAGCCCAGAACATCCAGGGATTTCTTACCAGCCTTCAGAATTTCCTTCACCTCATCAATCCCTTCATCGGAGATGAAATTTCCATTGATGTTCAGTTGCACCAAAGCTGGTTTATTTGCGACTGCCCGCGCAAAGCACCGAGCTCCAACCCTCTGCAGCATGTTCGTGCTCACATCAAGTTCCTTGAGATCTGTGTGGCCATCTTCCAATGATTTTGCAATAATCACAGCACCGTGATCCTTCAGTTCATTTTCAGCCAAGGTCAGCTTCTTCAGTGACTGCATTGCTGTTAGGCATTCTGCCAAATCTGGGGCTGCTCTGGCATTTATTTCATTTCCTGCCATTTCAAGGACCTCCAACTGTGGTGCTGACTGTTTGAGGGCATTGGCAATTGCTTTTGTACCCTCGTTCTCAAGATTGAGATCACTGAGATAAAGCTCAACAAGATCAGGAAGCTTTGGAAGGGTTTCGCTGAGAGCTAACCCCGCATCAACACCAAACAAGTTGTCCCTGAGATCAAGTTTCTTCAGACGAGTGCATGTCCCTAATGCCTCAGACAATGCGACTCCACCATCAGATCCGATCCTTGTTGCTGAGCACCTGAAACTCTCTACATTTGGGGAACGCTTAACCATCTCAGCGATATAGATAGCACCTTCATCTCCAGTCATATTGTTGTGGAAGTGAAGAACCTTGAGCTTGTCAGTTGCAGGAATAAGCTCAGATAGAGCTTTTGCAGCTTCCTCTGATATGCCATCATTCATCACATAGAGTTCTTCCAGGGATTCCTGTGATTTCAGGAGCTCACTGAATGCCCTGACACCCTTCTCACCCAAAGCATTGTCAGATATATTCAGATATCTCAGGACAGAACCCTCTAATGCTTTGGAGAATATGCGCATCACATCAAGTGCTTCATCCTCAGGCCTTCCTGCCACAAAATCTGAGATATCAACCTCTGTGAGCTGATTCTTAACTGCCTCAAGAATTGGCCCTGCAACATTAGCAGCACCAATACCAAAGCTCCTGTTGCTAAAGCAAATTCTTTTATACGAATTTCCTGGTTTGGTGAGTGGACTCAGCAGTTCCTTTGCTTCATCTGCCTCAATAAAAGCACGCTTGCCACCAGATATATCCAGTACAGTATCAGCAGGCACAAGAGGTGCATCAGCAGGCACAGGAGGTGTATCAGCTACAGGTGCCTCCAGTTCTGCAGTAGTCCTTGGGCCTTTTTTCAGAACTTCCAACATCAGCTTGCTTGTTTCCTTTGCATATAGCTGGACAGCAGAACTCCCATCACCATCTGGCTCCCTTTTGAAATGCTCATCAGCTGAGGCAAAGCAAAGTTCTTCAATCCTTTTTGCATTCTCATGAGCCTCTTGCTTACCCAAAAGGCCATACTTGCGAGAGAAAATTGTCTCTGTGGACAGATTCTTTGTCATCCTCTCAACAAGCATGAGCCGTGTGCTTTCACTTGGCGGCCACAACTTTATAGAGAATGTCCTGGGTTGGAAATCTTGTGTTGAATCCATGTGACAAGCTTGGACTTAACACAACAACCTGTAATAGTAGAACATGATTTACTAGACTTGCTTTAATAACATAAGATATCGCAGTAGCAAAAAACACAAGAATAAACCAACAATATGAACCAACTAAATTGTATTTCCCGGTCTCCTGGAGGAACAAAATTAATGCAGTAAAGGACATAATTGTGCAGCCGATAATTTTTGCAAAAAAAAAAACCAAGTTAGCAGAGAGAATACAGTATACATTTCTAGTTTGATCAGATCCGGAGACAAATAGCTCAAGTTAGGGTTTGGGTTCTCAGCTTCGCACAGGAACGGAAGAGAAGGGTGGGAGTACCTGGCGGAGCTTGTCGGCGGCGAAGAGCCCGAAGAAGACCTGGCGAACGGACCGATGGGCACCTGGGCAGCGGCAGCGGTCGCCCAGTCGTCGCCGCGAGGGAGAGAGAGAGAGAGAGAGAGAGAGAGAGAGCGTGCCCTTGGGGAACGGTAGAAGAAAGGGCAGTGCTGTTTCGAATTATTAGATCCCGCGCGAGACCGTGTGACTGTGGCCGCCGCCGCTGGGGAGCGAAATGTATTGCTAGGGTTAGGTTTTTGGAGTATATACGTGGGCTAGTTGGGCCACTCGGGGTGTACGGGATGGGCAGGGTCACAGCTCACCGGACATAGAATATTAGAATTAGAATATAGATATAGAAAAGATAAAACCCGGTGTTTAGTTCAAAAAGATTTTCAAAAAATGCTGCAGTATCCATTACATCGAATCTTGCAATACGTGCATGGAACATTAAATGTAGACAGAAAAAAACTAATTACACAATTTTGTGGGAAATTGCGAGACGGACGTTTTGAGCCTAATTAGTCCACGATTGAACACTAATTGTCAAATAAAAACAAAAGTGCTACAGTAGCCCGAATTCCAAACTTGAGCCAACTAAACACGCCCAAAAGTTCAAACTTCAAAACCACGGATCATTGTTTCTAAACTCGCAAAACCATTTAAATTATCTCCTTAACCTAGATTTAAGTGGTTCTGGAGACGATTCATCACCTTTTTAGTTAATATGAAAATCCACTAAATGTATTATAAGCTTTTTAAATCAATGTCTCTAAACTTCTAAAAGGCCCGAGAAAAATCCTAGAGATAAGTTGGGGCATGACAAACCCAAATAAAATAGTTCAAGCTCATAAAAATATCTCTAGAAGTTTCAAAATATATATTTATATCTAGGAAATGAGAAAATACCCAAAATATATTGAACAATCCTCAAAACATTACAATTATAATCGATGTCTATACGTGTTTTAAAAAACTCTGCATGGCAAAAATACAAGATGCAACTAGCACGAATGTACGTTGATGCTGAATGCACTTGTGCTAGTTGTGTCTTATGTTCTTGTTGTGTAACGTTTAAAAAAACGCGTTTAGACGACAGCTAGCACCAACCCTTACAGGTTCATCGCATCAAAGAATACTGTTTTTTCTCTTCATTTTGGGAGAACAATCTAACGTGCTGTTTATCTGAATTAAGATAAAGCTCCAAAGTTTTCACGTCGTGCCAAGTTTTTAGGAAAAAAATCTACATGACCCCAAACTATTCAGGTGGACTACTTCACTCCCAAACTATAAAACCGGATTTTCTACCCCCTGAACTTTCCAAAACCGGTCAAATAACCCCAAACGGTTTTGGACGGTGGTTTTGCTACAGTGACGGTGGTTTTATCTTTTATCTTTTTTATTTATTTCCGCTGAATCTTTGAAAAATCATAGTAAATCAAAGAAAAATCATAAAATGAAAAATTCAATTTCGTTAGACTCCACATGAGTAGATCTACATAATGAACATATAATATGGTATATTTTAGTACAAAATTTTTGCTATAACTTTAGATTTATGCTTTTCTTTAATTAATTAGAATAATTCATAGCTGCAGCTTCTATGGTTTAATTGTAGTGAAATTTTTATGGTGGGCTAATTATTATATGCTTGAACTGTAGTAAAAATTTCATACTCATTGGATTATGTATAACTTAATTATAGATTTATTTAGGTTTATGTTTGTTATATCTATGTTTTATCTATAACTAAGTTATACACGATCCAATGAGTATGAAATTTTTACTATAATTCAAGCATACAATAATTAGCCCACCATAAAAATTTCATCACAATTGGACCATAGAAGCTGCAGCTATGAATTATTCCATTTAATTACAGAAAATTATAGATTTAAAACTACAACAAAAACTTTGTACTAAAGCATACCATATTATATGTTCTCTGTGTAGATCTACTCATGTGGAGTCCAACAAAATTAGATTTCCCATTTTATGATTTTTCTGTGATTTACTATGATTTTTCAAAGATTTAGCGAAAATAAATAAAAAAGAAAAAGACAAAATTACAATCACTGTAGCAATTATCGTCCAAAACCGTTTGAGAGTTATTTGACCGGTGTTGGAAAGTTTAGGGGTAGAAAATCCAGTTTTATAGTTGGGGGGTGAAGTGGGGGTTATGTAGACTTTTTCCCAAGTTTTATATGGCTGTGGTTTGCTGCCAAATAACATCAAAGTCCAAAGTTCATGACTAATACATGAATAGAGTTTTGGCGGCTACTGTACCTTGCACTTTGGCCGCACCGCAGGATACAATTACAAGCTCCTACAAAGATTCCATTGCTGCTTAAAAATTTCTCTCTTGGAGTTAATAGAAAAGGTTAGGGAGGATCTATTTGCCAAGTTTTTCATGTGTGCTTTGAGCTATGTCTCAACGACTCAACCACACTGAAGCTCCTCATAGCGTGCTCTGGAAAATCTCTTGTCGCGCAGATCAGGATGGTCCGAGGTCAGACGGCAAGCAGGAAGTTTCATGCAACATGGCATCAAAGGTGAAGCATCTAGCATGGCACCCGGCAGAAAACTTCATAGTTTGTGCAGCCAATAGTAACTTGTACATGTACCGTACATAAGCACAGTCCAGTCATGTGTACAGAGTAAGGATGAAAACGGAACGGAAATATCCCGAACCGAACCGCATCGTTTTCTATATTTAATCCGATCGAATTCGCATTTTCTTGTCCGACTTTACTGCCGCTTTTCGCATTTGAGATGTTTCAGATTTCAAATGTAAAAGTAGAAAACGTTTACACATTTTTCGACCGCTTTTCTACTTTTATACTTTTAATTTGAAATATTCCGAATTCAAATTTCGTTTTAAACCGAATTTGGCCAACTCGCATGTCATCATACAACCCAATTACAGTCGCCACCACGTAGTCAAGCGTTCTTTCTCTCGGTGGCTAGTCCCTCTCTCTTATAGACGGCGCCCACCTTATTTCTCTTATTATGTATTTGGTCGTGCACTTGTTTAATGCTATACACTTGAACTAGATCATGCACTTGTTAGTTGTGAACTTGTTATGTATTTGGTCGTGCACTTGTTTAATGCTATGTACTGTGGGTCGGTATTTCGTATTGAATTTTCGCATACCGATCGCGTTCGACATAATTCCGCTTGAATTGGTTCGTTTCTGAAATTCTAGATATTCCGTAAGTTCGTGTTCGTTTTCGTGTCCGGCTTGTCCACTTTCGCTTTCGCTTTCGTATATCAAATGTAAAAGTAGAAAACAGTTGAGGAGTTTTTTGGCCGAGTTCGACCGTTTTCATCCGTACAGAGTGCAAACCACAGAATAGCAATCGTAATTAAACTGATGCCAGAAAAGAATATGCTTTTCCATGTTACAGTGCACGTTATGGGCAGGATATTGAACTGACTGTACATTGTTCAGGATCTTCAGCAGATCTAGTATAGGAAGGAAAAGATACTCTTGTAACCAGCAAAAGGATCGCCTCCTTGACTGTTCCTTCTGCTTCTCGATATCTCCTTGACATATTCCTGAATATCGAAGGGTTGAGCTGCAACTCTGACTTGCTCTGTGCATTGAACAGCCTGGAAGCACGGAAGGGGACTGCTGATGCAGGATTTCCTCTTCTTAGATGGGCTGTCACGTTGAGTTGCAAATTGGGGGGAGTTTTCAACCGGAGTTCCTGTTTTGAAAGGATTTTCACCTGGATTTCCTTTCTTTAAAGGATACTCAACTGGAGTACTAATACGGATCTTGCTTTTCTCCAGCGAGCTATCCTTTCCGCCCACAAACCCTGGAGAGCTTTCATCTGGAGTTGTCAGCATCTTGCTCTTCTCAGATGAGCTGACACGCCTAGCTGCAAATTGGAGAGAGTTTTCAGCTGAAGTGCTCAGTACCTCGCTCTTCTCCAATGGGCTCTCCTTTCCACCCGCAAACACAAGAGAGCTTTTATCTGGAGTTGTCAGCATCTTGCTCTTCTCAGATGAGCTGACACGCCTAGCTGCAAATTGGAGAGAGTTTTCAGCTGAAGTGCTCAGTACCTCGCTCTTCTCCAATGGGCTCTCCTTTCCACCCGCAAACACAAGAGAGCTTTTATCTGGAGTTGTCAACATCTTGCTCTTCTCAGATGAGCTGACACGCCTAGCTGCAAATTGGAGAGAGTTTTCAGCTGAAGTGCTCAGTACCTTGCTCTTCTCCAATGGGCTCTCCTTTCCACCCGCATTCTGAAGAGAGCTTTTGTCTGGTGTCGTGCTCAGCATCTTGCTCTTCTCAGATGGGCTATCCATTATTCCAAACAGCATGCGGCTCTTTTCTGAACTTCTACCCAGGATCCCGCGACACTTCTCAGCAGTATTGGTTGGAGAGACCCTAGGCTCAACAGGCTCAAAATCCATTGTGGTGGCCTCATCCGCATGCAGACAGCCATGCTCTACTTCAAACTGGTCCCTTGATATCTTCATCTTCTTCAGTATAAGAGGTTCATAAGAGCTATCCATGGATTTCGATACCATCAGAGTGGGGAACTCTTTGGATTTCTTGCGTATGTGATCAAAAATTGTGTTGTCTGTGGCACTTTTGCATTCTGCCTGTTCTGGTCCAGGAGCTGATGCAGCTTGTAAACAAGACAATGCACATTTCAGCTAGCTAATAATAAATTTCCAGATTTCAATTGAAGGAGCACAAATGAAGCATAAAGCGCATATAACTGTATACTGTTTGCAGGATTGTCATACCTCCATACTCTTCTTCAGGCAGTAGATCAAAGCTTGGGACCTCCCTATAATCATGAAAATAGCACGTTACAAAAATACTGACCAAGGTTCAGAAAACATGACTTGAGTCAATAGATCAAGTACAAAGTTTTTTTTGGAACAAAAATGGCAGGAGCTCTGCCATTCAATTATGAGAGAAAAGAGTGTTCAAAACAGGTTGATCCCAAAGACCAAAGGATCCAGTAACAAATCCCCCAAGAAAACCATCTAGGGACCAAAACCATTCAGTATAAAGTTGTGGTGTATGCTGATCTGCCACATGCTGAAGGTTGGATAATCCCTAGTCTGATCAGTATTTAAGGTTATGCTGGTGGATGGCAATCAATTCATATATTATTAGCCAGCCAAAAAAAAAGATTAAGAACTCACAGTAAAGCCAAGTTGTTAAATTTTCTGGTTCCCAGTACATTATCAGCTTTCTCGAGAGCACTGACAGCAACGTCATCATCTTCTATGACATAAACCTCTTTGGAAAGAGGGCTCTGTTCAGTGTGAGATTGAGATCGGCTTGTTCGAGTTGTCCTGGAGCTAATCAAACAAATCTCTGAAGGGAGATTGTATGCAGGTTCAAGCTTATCTATCACATGCTCTTTGGTCACGTACAAACCATCTTCCCTGCTTACTACATGCTTCTTGTGCACATCAAGACCAACTTCACCATAGCATTGAAAACATAAACTATGTGAGCATATAAGTGATATGTGCATAATATTTTTGAAGGAAAGTATTCTCTCTTTTTTTGTAAAACATGCAGGAGGACTGTGTATCATTATATTATAGAAGAAGAAATGAGGGGGGGGGAAACCCCGAGTACACTGGTTTAAAAGGTTACAGACTCGCCAATGCTAAAAGAAAAACAACCTTAACCACAACCTCTATTGAGACCCAACATCGAAAGAAAGTATTTTCGGATAGTGATATTACCATATTCTTCAAATATTAGATCAACCTTCAGAGTGACTCGTGCATTCTGGGGGCATGGCACAAAAACTTTTACAGAATATGGGCTGCATTTTAAAAAATTGGCCAGTGAGCAATTCTGGAATAAGATATGTTGGTGAAGAAGAATGGATTAACATATCCTAAAATAACAAAAGTTGAAAAGTGTTACCTGTGGAATTCTCGAGTCCTGGAAGAAAGAACCAAAAGAACAACGAACAACCATCCACATCAGCAGATGAAAAATAGATTGTCAAAGGCATTAGATCGGTTTGAGAGGAGAGGCACTGACCTTATATTCTCATGAAAGAGGATCACATTGTCTTCCTCTGAGGCCACAACCTGAAAAATAATGTTATAACATTTAGTTGGTTTTAAAAGCACTCAATTAGCCTGTTCGCTGGTTGGTTTCTGGGCTGATAAGCCCGGCTAGTGCTGGTTTGTTGTGAGAGGAAAATACTGTACCATGGCTGATAAGCCCTGGCTGAAACCAACAAGCGAACAGGGTGAATGACCCGAAGCAAAGTTAAATAAGGTACCATGTCAGCGCAACTGCGTTTACTGGATCGAACTGCCTGTGATAGACGAGTTAATGTTACAGTAATGGTCGCTTTCCCAAGTCTGTTTCCAGTTTCTTCTATGTCTATGTCAATTTTGGGTGGTAATGATGACATTGAATCTTTGATATGATTCCCAAATGGATAATTGCGTCCTGTGGCCGATTCTATCTTTCTCGCATCAGCAGTTGCCAAGGTCTCAAAGCAATAAATTCCAGCAGTCTTCAGAGCCTAAGGTGGCAAGTGATCAACTCAAGAATTAATTATGCTGGCTGCAGATACAGCAGTGGCTACATAACAATCACAAAATTAATAACCTTTGCTGTTACAATTCCAATCCCAGGCAGTTGTTTCAGCAGAAATGGACTGCTCTCCCAAAGCTTTTGATGTAGACTATTTGCAAGGATCATAGAATTTATGGCGGATCTGTAGTTCTTTTTGTATATAAAATATTCTCGCATGCATTTGGCAATCCTACATCCATTTGAGCATATTGAATTTGTTTCCTGCATGGAAGTCCACTTAAGTCAACATAGTAGGGGAGAAAATCAAGGGGTGTTTGCAACTAGACAAGCAAGCAACCTGGTTGAGGGATAAATCATGGATTAGGGGGTCTCCAGTTAAGCAGTCATTTGCTAGCAAGAATATTTTCTCTTCTCTTGTCTGAACACGTTTCTTCCTTTTTCCATTCTCCATGACAATATGAAATAGGAGTCTACCATCTTTGTCGGCATTTATGTCATTTAGAATCTTCTTGTCCTTTCGGCGTAGTTGGATCCCTTGATACACCAAAAAATAAAAATAAAATAAAATGCTTGACACTCAATAATCAATTCAAAATATGTACATCTACCTACAAGTTATTTCTGCAGAGTGACAGATGACATGCAATAAATTTTCCAAACTGCAACAGGCAGAAGCTTTCACGATAAGCTTCATTGTATCAAACTTCAGGTAGAATTTTGCCATCAGCCTCCCTGGTTCTGAGAATGAACAATTAGATCTTAAAGTAGTCCTTTTGACAAACAATTGCAAAACAATTAGATCTTAAAGGAGTCCTTTTGACAAACCATCAGACCTGGATTTACTGTAAGTCTGCCAAGGTATTAGGGCCTCAAGAAACATGGCAGTCATTGCAGAAAATATAGCCTGTTCGGTTGGCTGGTTCGTATCGTTGCTAGTTCGTTTATGTGAGAGAGAAGTACTGCTGGTTGGTTCGCGTGAACAGTAGCTATGTGAGGGGGCTGGCCAGCCAGCCCAGCCAGCCCCAGCCCAGCGATCAGGCTGAGCTTGGCACAGATTCACAAATACAATGCATGATGCCTATGCGAAATTGATCCATGCACTGTTTATAGCTAGATGATATATACAGTAACACAATGCAAATCCTGAAATAGGGGGCAACATTTGCAGATCAGAACCCTAGGGACCATACAAATCCAACAAACCCAGCTCACGGAATACTATTTATTGTTCGACAATCCTAAAATGTTGAACAGGGGGTAGGGAGAGCGTATCCAGACCAATATAATGAGTTAATCTTCATGGATCTCAGGATCTGGCTGGTTGATATTTGTAACATATGATTTTAGGCTACACTATGTCTAGATACATAATAAAAGCAATGTATCAAGAAAAGCCAAAACGTCTTATAATTTGGAATGGAGGGGAGTACATTGCAACAAAAAAAAACAGTGTTTTATCCCTGCAGATTGAGAGCTGGACCATATGACATCTTGTAATTGTGATTTCTGCATTTTCATTTTGGTAGAGAGAAGAAAACTTTACCTAGTGGTTGTAGAACGAAAGCTCCTTCATCTGTCCAAATCAGTCCATAGTCCACCAACTCATGAATCTTCTGGACACATATATCTGTATATTCGGTTGCTTAGGATCAAAGCATAAGGCATCATAACAGAACCATCATGCCAAAAGAAGGTACCTTGAATTTGCTTTTCAAGGAGATCTTGAGGAGTCCCCCCCTTAACTCCATAGTTCTCAGGATTCTAGCAATTTATTTCATTAAAGTTATTCCATGCATTTTTCTCAAACAGAAGTTATTCCATGCATTAAATTTAAATGCTAAACAAGAGTATGCATACATACCTTCCTTATTCTGGTGTACAAATACGAGCACTTGATCCACTCAACTGCCAGAATAATGTCAGATACTGTCAGCTGAACGATTTCTGCATTTAGATGCTCCACTGCACATGGCAGCAACCTGGTGGTAGTTATGTAGTATATATACTTGGTCAGAAGTACAAAATTATATGTAGTGCATATCATGGTCTTCTTTTAGGTGAAATATCACATGAGACACTAGTTTCTGATTAGACATCAAGCACTTACTGAGACTCCACCATTTCACAACCATTTAGAAGGTTCTCATATATATGAACCTAAAAGGAAAACTTAAACATGTTAGTTCAATAAGCCAGGAAATAGATCCTGTAAAATTATTGCACAACTGACAAAATTAATAAGAGTGGAAACACATGATGATTACTGTCTCTTTTCTTGTCATGATTATAATTGTTCCAGTATCATCGAATGGTGGACGTCCAGCCCTTCCACACATCTGCGGATCACCCCAAACAGAAGCTTTCTCAAAAACAAGAGGATAGTCATATAATACATTTTATATTTAAAATTGAAATCACTAAATGCGTTAAGTTGAACTGTTAAATTTGGTATACATTTAAATATAAATTTCTATATAATTTAGGGAAATGCCTAGGAGAGGACCCTACTATTGGTGATATGTGTACTCTATAACAACAGAGTACAAAGAAAATAACTACAGTACAAGCATAGGTCCTCCTTCATATAGACTCCTTTTCTTAGTTCTTAGCTGACCAGTGGCTCCCTCAGCCTCTTGGGTGGTTTTTGTTTTTGTTGTTCTTTCTCCTCTGTACAGTTTCTGGCTTTTGCTTTTTAATAAAATCTCACAGTGGGGGCCTCCCCTGCCGTATTTTTCGCTCAAAAACAGTACAAGCATAGGCAGAGCCACTAGCAGACTAAACTACTGAGTCCAGTCAATTAAATAGAAATCTAAAAGCCTTGTTGAACCCTGTGCAAATGTAGGGTTACTTCATAAGTGAAACCCTTTATTCCCAGGAAGAAGAGATATAAATATTGAAGTATTTCAGTATAAGTAAAATTCAACCTATATATATATAAGATAAGGTAAGATATCCAGCAGTCCTTCTTTCTTAAACAAAAGTGCCAATGATATATTCCAGAACCATCTTTTGCTAAAGGTTTAGCACACGTCTGTATATAAGTTATAATTTTAAACAAATTCAGTAGTTTGTATGCCTCAAATTATCAAATCTGACCTATTAATTCAGAAAGAAGTAAAAGAAATTAAGCAATGAACAAACAACAATGAAGCTACATGTTAACCATACAAAATCACAGTAAGATGTGAAACAAGATGGAATATCTCTTCCTGCATATCAAAGATAATAGTTTTATAGGATTTTTTTTAGGTGAAGAGTTTTCTAGGACATATAGACTTAGTAGTACACCTGAAGCACCATGGACCTCTCATATTCAACATATAGGCCCTTCTCCTTGTTGCTGCATAATAGAATCTATGTCAAAAACTAGAAGTTCAATTTAATTGACGCCATATCTAAAAATTCATTCTTACAAAAACTGTGTTGACTTTATCACAACTGTATGTGCAGGTAAGTTGATGCCATGTGCCAACGTATTCGTTGTGCATAGGACTTGAAGATCACCCTTGAGGAAAAGCCCCTCAACAAGACCTCGGTCTTTTAAGCAAAGACCACCATTATGAAAACCAACTGAAAATGGAACAGGATGGCATCAGTTAAGCAATCAATTAAAGTTTTTAGGCTAAGTGTATCAACTAACATGGGCACCTAAAAAGACATTACTAAAAAAATGGAGGTTGCAAAGTTAAGGAAGGTATTATGGGTGCCCAGGGAACAAGATTCCATATAACCTCCATGTACAATGCAAGCCTGCAGTTGCTTGTCACTACAGGTTAGGGAAGCCTCCTTTAGATGTTCATACTGCTGCATCGATTTCATAAATGGATTCGAATAGCCAAGTGATGCTCCAGTTTGTGAAAGGCACTGCGCTGCTTCTTGTGCACCTTTTCTTGTAGAACAGAAAATAAGTGCAGACTTCCCTCTTGAATGTTGCATCAGTATATCTGTAATAAATATTTCATTTATATATCTAGTACTGATTTTTAGAACTGTAATTTACATGATGTGCAATGCTATTGAGTGATGTGGGGATTTTACTTACCATAAATAAAACTTTGCAACCTCTACAAGTTGAAACAAACAAAAAGAATTAAGTAGTTAGCATTATATAAAGTACAACTATTTGAAACAATATGATACAACTCAGGGAGATGCAGTTCTGACTTAAAACCTCCCTGCTAATTTTTATTCTAACTGTGAAGAAGGAAGATTTTGGATAGTAAAGATGCATACCCTCTCAAAAAGGAAGTCGTTTTTAGCTGGAGCATAACCTAAATAGCACACAAAGAAAAAGGAAAGAATTAGCGGCACACAAATGGCTGACAAAGTGGAAGCTGAAAGATCATTGGGAAGATGCTAGCAATTTGTACCATGTGTATATATGTTCATAAATTTTACCTAGTAGCACGAAAGACACAGGTTTATCTAGAGAAAGGAAAATTGTGGTTATTTTGTACAAGAGGTGTTTTACATAAGTAAATCAAATGTAACTTAAATGGCATAGAAAAACAGTCAAATCATTATTGATAAAAACTGAAACACTTTAATGACTTGGTGTTGATCCTTCAAGCAACATATGATAGGAGAGCATTTACTGCCAGATTAGCACAAAAAGTTTGCTGCAGCATAACTAAGTTAGAGCAGCTTCTTGATAAGCTAATCTTAAGGGTTGGCAATGTATTGCATCAGTGTTTATTACAGAAATGAGCCCTTGACATCTGGTCAGTTTGATTCTAATATATAAGAAGTCTCAATCATACCAAAGACCTTGGTTGTCAACTTCACTGGCCTCATTTCTTCTCCAAATCTGCAAAAGGAGGATACCACAGATAAGGTAAATTTATTGGGAGTACTCCACAAAATCCTCAAAATAAATTGTGTTAGTCACCTTTTGATTCCTTCTGGGGGTGCTAGGAGCCACTGTGCTGAAATTTTGTAATATTAATGAGAAACATAACTTTCTTTGCTGGAGCGTGATATGGCAATGTAAATGGTATGTTGAGAATTTACTGTGTAGAGTTACAAACCTATGTCCTCAATATTAGGGATAGTAGCAGAAACAGCTATGAATCGAACATTAGCCAGAGGAAAAGATTTCATGTTGTCATGTCGCGAAAGCATTTTTATCCTACTGACAACTGCTTCTAATGCAGCTCCACGTGGATCATTAAGAAGGTGAACTTCATCAATAAGGACGAGAGCAATGTCACAGAAGAAACCCAATCTACCACTTTTTTATACCATGTCGACTCATAGAATCAAACTTCTGCATGTATTACAATTCCAGTGAGAAAGCAAGATATTGGTTAGCAGGCTATCATCTTAACTTCTGCAGATGAAAGTAAGTAGTGACATGGACCTCAGGAGTGGTGAGGATTAAATCAGCATCATGTATGGCTTTATTGTCGTAAAATTCACTGTCACCAGTCATCTCCAAGCAATTTATCCCCAATGGGCCCAACTTCATGTTCCAGTCCCGCAGCTTTTCCTGCACCAATGCCTTGGAGGGTGCAATGTAGATCTGCCATATAAATCCAGTGAACCACACGGTAACAATAAAATACCCGAATCCTAAACTCCCAGTTTTTTTAGGAATGGCATCCAGAATCGGCACATACTGTTTTCAGAGTTCCTTTATTCAAATTGAACCTCCAATCTGGTGAAAGGAACCTTGAGAGGAGCCTCAGAATGCAGAGTTCAAAGAGTACGGTCTTCCCACTCCCCGTGGGTGCCGAGATAACCATGTTCACATCCGAGAAGAAGCACACATGAAAGCACTCGCTCTGCAAGGAATTGAAGTATCTGCAGAGAAACCAAAACGTTACTTTACTAAATCCCACCTCTACACCACAGCATCTCAATATTACTTTATATTCCCCATAATTCCAAATTTCATTAACCTAGCATTATAATCTCATGCAATACGCGAGGCTACTACTCAATTCGAACCATCTACATGAGGGTGCTGCAGTCACGCAACTGAACAAAGACAATAGTGCAGAAACACGGCGTATGAACAGCAAAATTCGAACGTGTAGCTTGATAATCAGCGCACGGGTCGCACCTGAACCTGAACACGGAGCGGAATGGCGGGGGCAGGTCGGAGACACAGCGTAGCGCGTACGGATCGGCGAGAGAACCCATCCTCGGTCGGGCGACCTGACCGCAAGCGGGTGTCACTTGAGATCGATGCCGCACAGAGTCCGCCTCCTGCAGAATCCGAACGATCGCGGTGAGCAATCGACTAGCGGTGACCGGTGAGCAATCGACTAGCGGAGAAGCCCGAGCGATCGAGGGTAAAAAAAAATCCAAGCGATCTGTAGCGAGGAATCCATCGCGAGGAGTATCGTCGAACACCTTGCGCGCGGCGTCGCTTCGAGCCGAGTCGGCTGGATGATCTCTCTGCCGAACTGAATTGCGGAGCGAGGTTGGAGTGTAGTGTAGGAGACGAGTGGGAGAGCGGGAACTTGCTCGCTAGTGGAATCGGACCGGAGGAGACTGCAGCGAGAGGCGGGAGAGGCTGTTGACGAGACGGCGGAGAGAAGAGAGGGAGAGAGAGGATCAGAGGAGAGGAGCGTCTGCTAGCTTCGAGAGGGGCTTGAGCGCAGCGGGAGGAGCGCAGCGCGCGGGTGTCTTGTGGTGTTGTGGAGGTCTGGTGGAGTTGTGGGGTGGAAGAGAAGGAGCTGAGTCGTCGTGCGGAGGAAGAAGAAATTCAAATTGTGCCGTGGATTTTGCAGGCGGGGGACTCGTTGTTTGGCACGGCTTCCTGGTCTCCACTACTCCTGTGTGCCGTGTTCGTGCCAAAAGGTCAGGTCTGGCCGTCCGGCCGTCCAGGAAGGCAGGGTCGTAGGGAGAACAGAGGAGAGCACGCCGACACCGTGACAACTGAGGCCACGGCTGCAAATGGTCATTTAGTAAGAACGAACCAAGAACAACAAAACAAATGCACAGAGCATATATGACACAGATCGATCAATCTTAAACCAATTACTAATTCTGTTTATAACATAACACATCAGGGAAACACTCTCACTTTGATTAAGGCACGAATCTTGGCAAACTGAGCTGCCATCATCCAGCACATAGGGCTAGCGTGCTATGTACGGTGACACATCACACATGTACGTACAACTCGTGGCCGGCTGATCAAGCTATACCACACTCCACTCTACAGGCCCTCCTGGTCCATGGCGAGGATGGTGCTGAGGTTCATGGGGTGCATGTAGTCCGTGTCGCCGTGCATGAACTGGGAGACGATGATGCGGTTGGCCCTCTCCGTGGGGTGGAACGTTCGACGCCGCCGTGCACAGCCCGATCCCGTTGTACGGGCCCTGCCGCAGCACGCCACCTGCACGTTCGTGAACCCTGCAAAAGAAAGCAGCACGAGAGATCCAATTGTCACCGATCGACCCGCTTGATTGGTTTCCCATGGAAAGACCGTCGGCACCGTGTCTGATCTCGCTCACCGAAGTCCTGCGGGTTTGCGAGGTAGTGGAAGTTCATGCGGTAGGTGTTGGCGGTGACGAAGACGTCGGCGCTGATGGCGCGGTTGAGGCCGCGCACCATGTCCACCATCTGCGGGTTGAAGAGGTTCACGGCGCGCGTCAGCTCCGCCGCGCGCTCGCCGTTCTGGCTGTGCAGCGCCAGCTCCGCCGGGACGCACCCCAGCGGCCCCGTCCCCGTCACGATCACGCGCCGCGCGCCCAGCTCGTACAGCCTCTGCACAATGCGTATGCATGCGTTGGTCACACATGTTGCGGCGACCCAGGAGCGAATCCTACATACGACGACCACCATGTGCTAGTTGTTGGCGGACATTCAAGTGAGTCACCGACTGAGTTTGAGTGCGTGTGCAGCGGTGGTGTGCACGGCATGGTCTCTTGTGGATTGGTAGCTGTAGCTGGTGGTGGTTGCTAGAGTGTAGAGAGTCGTTCGGTACACTTTAATTACCGAGAGGATCTTCCTGTACTCGGAGATGATGAAGCGGACGTAGTCCGGGAGCGCGTACTGGCGCGAGCGCACGGACATGGGCACCAGGTAGTAGTTGTTCACGAAGTCGTTGCCGCCCAGCGTGATGAGCACCAGGGCCTGGTTCACGAGCTGCGTCGCCTGCGGCTCGCTGATGAGGGCTCTCAGCGTCCGCTGGTACTGCCGGAAGTACTGCAGCTGGTCGCCGATCCTGATGATGTTCACCTGCGCGCGTACGATGCATGGCAGGACGTCAGAATTCGGAGCTACAGTTTTGCGTACGTGAACAGAGGCTGTGATTAGTTCGGGAAATTTGAAAATTTGGCTACTGTATCACTTTCGTTTTTATTTGTCGATTATTGTTCAATCATGGACTAATTAGGCTCAAAACGTTCGTCTCGCGATTTCCAACCAAACTGTACAATTAGTTTTTTTTTCGTCTATATTTAATGTTTCATGCACGCATCGCACGATTCGATGTGCTGTGGCATTTTTTTGAAAACTTTTTGGAAACTAAACAGGGCAGAGAGGTCATGCAGTGAAATGAGTAGCTAGCTAGCATCTGTCCACCCGTACAAACTGTATTCCTGTGTCGTTGAGGATCCCGACGCCGGCCGACGCGAAGTTGGCGCCGACGAGCAGCTTCTCCCCCCGGAGCTCGGGGCTCAGGTACGGCAGCAAAGGTTCGGCCCCGAGGTGCTCGCCTGAAAAGCAAGTGTGTCAGTGCAGTAGTAACACAACAGCACGCACGGATGCGCGTATGCTGACACATCATTTCTCTGAAGGATGGACGATCGATCAATGGCGTTCTGTATATATTACTGATGATGTCGGGGATGTTGAGGCCGTTGGAGAAGCGGTCCGTCGCGCGGTGCGTGGGGAAGTCGATGCCGTAGGGCGGCGCGTCGGCGCGCGCCGTGGTCAGCAGGTAGTTGTTGTTGCCGTTGTCGACGAGGGAGTCGCTGAAGACGAAGAAGGCCCGCGCCGCGGACGCCGCCGGGGCAGCCGCCGCCAGCAGGCAGAGGAGCAGGGAGACGACGAGCGGAGGCATAAGAGCAGCAGCCATCGTGGAAGTCTCGTCCGAGGAGAGGTGGTGACTGACTGGTGAGCGTGTGCAGTGTGCTTTATAGAGGCCGGCCGGCCTTTCACCTTGCATGCATTGCACCAATACAGGGCCCGTTCGCTCGGAGAAATTCTAGAGGAATTTGAATGGTTCGGAGAAATACTGGAGGAATTTGTGAGACAAAACACGGTTTCGGATAAAAAAAGAAGCGGATCAAGCCGGGTTTAAAGCTACGCGAATGGGGCCACAAGCTGATGAAGGAAGGCCACTAGGCCAGTGGCCACCCCTACCCCTAGCAAATGCACACATGCGCGGTGGTTGTGTGGTTTGTCACTTTATGTTCGGCTTACCTTATATTCGGTTTGTTCGGCTTCTTTTTTTAATTGGAACAGTGTTTTTTTTCTCACAACAATTCAGTCGGAACAGTGTTTTCCAGCCAATTTTCAAACCCAGCGAACGGGGCCTTAGTACCCCGGGCAGCCTTGGATCATGTGCCCCAACAGCTAGCCCAGCAGGACTGTGTCAGCCTGTAGTTGCAGCATACTGTAGGTCGCAGGATCCTTTTGTCCACCACCAATGAGAATGGGCTGCACGGCCAGAGCGGGCTTTCGAATTTGGAAGATGAGTTGTTAATCCCCGATCCTAACACTGTATCGCCGAAAATCTGCTTGCTCGTCGTTAGTGTGTTGTTTGGCACGTCGTTAACGTGCTGTGGGCAGTGGCGGCGCCAGGGGTATGCCCCGGCATACCCAAAATTTGAGAGAATAAGTTAATATGTATACAAATCTTTATACATATCTTCATACATTCACGTTTCTGGCTAATAGGCCCAGAACATCCGTTTCTAGCAATTTGGCAGCCCAAGAAAGCAAGAAAGCCCACAATACACTACGTCGCTTGCGTTGCCCCCTGCCTAGTGCCCCTTTCCCTGCACGCGCTCGCTGCTCCGTGCCGCAGCACACAGCCACGCACGGCAGCACGACGCAGACACGCGCCACCTCCGGACCTCCCCCACTCCGGCGACCGGCACAGGCGGGCAGCACCTCGCGTCCTCGCCATCTCCTCCACTCCGGCCGACTCACCCCTTTCGTGCTGCGACCACGGGTAGTTCATGCTGCTGTCCGTGAAGAAGACGTCCCCGGCGACCTGGTCAACGTCGACCCCATTGGTGAAGCGTAGCGGCACGCCGTCGGCCTCCGCGGCCAGCACCCGGGACGACACGCATCAGCCCCTTTTACGCGTCCGCGATGTAAAGGTTGTCCGCCCGGTGGTGGAACCGCAGGCCTAGCGAGCGGCCGCACTTGCTCTCGGTGAGCTCCGCCGGCCGAGCCCTAGACACCGTGCAGGCCTCGGCGTCGTAGCCCAGGCTGTATGCGTACGTCGACCACCCACGCGCAAACCCGTTCCACTTGAATCGGGGACGGCGGGAGATGGGCCGACAGCACTGGAACCTGCACAACTTGTACCTGCAACAACTGGTGAACTAGTAGTGCTAAACACGGGATCAAACTCCGAGGGAAAATCAAGGTTGGATGAAGGTAGGGGGGCAGGAAGCTCGGCAAAGAGAAAAGAAGACTCATCAAATGTAACATGGCGAGAAATAATTAGGCGATTTGTGGCTAGATCAAGACAGCGATAGACCTTATGATCGGAAGGATAGCCTAAGAAGACACGTAGGGTTGAGCGAGGAGCGAGTTTATGTGGGGTAGTGGCGGATAAGTTGTGATAACATTTGCAACCAAAAACCCTAAGACGATCATAGGAAGGTGAGGTACCGTACAAGGCAAAGTACGAACTTTGGAAGTTAAGGGTTTTGGTAGGATGACGATTAAGAAGATAGGTGGCGGTATGAAGGGCTTCCACCCAGTAAGATGGTGGAAGACTGGCTTGGAATAATAGGGAACGCACGATGGTATTAGTGGAATGGATGATTCGTTCGGCACGACCGTTTTGTGGAGAAGTATGAGGACAAGACATGCGAAGGGTGGCGTCATGAGCGAGGAGGACGGAGCGAGCGGTGGAGTTGTCGAATTCACGACTGTTGTCGCACTGGGTAGCGACATAAGAAAAAAAAGTTAGAAAGGGGTAGGAAATGTGTCAGATTTAAGACGTAAAGGAAAAGTCCATGAGTAATGGGAGCGATCATCAAGAATTATAAGATAATATTAATAACCACTGACACTAGGAATTGGAGATGTCCACAAATCACGGTATATTAAATCAAAATTCTGAGAAGCACGTGAAGTGGAGTGAACAAAAGGAAGACACTCGTGACGTTCTAACTGACAAGCATGACACAATGTTTCTAGCTCACTTTTATTACAAGCCGAATGTAAAGAATGTGCCAAGTGAGATAGAGACTCATGGCCGAGATGACCGAGTCGGCGATGCCAAAGCACGGGGTAGATGTGATAGCGGCGAAAGTATGAGGACGAGCGGATAGCCGAAAGGAGTATAGCTCCCCAGCACTATTACACCTGACGATCACGTTCCCCGTTGCCAGATCCTTCACAGAAAAGGCCAAAAGGGTCAAATTCGATAGAACAATTATTGTAAGTGGTGAAATGATGGACAGAAATAAGATTTTTAATAATGTGCAGAGAGATAAGAATATTACGTAGATGTAATGAGCGAGCAGGCAACGGAAAGGAAGTGGAACCTGTAGCAGTAACAGGTAAAGAGGAACCATTGCCGACAATAATAATAGGTGGGGTAAAAGAAGTAGAAGGATGAACATGGGATAGACAATCAGAGTTTGAAACCATATGAGAAGAAGCACCTGAGTCCATATACCAGTTGTCGGTCGGTGGAGGTGTGAGCGTCATGGTGCTGAAGTTGTGCGCCAAGGCCTGCGGGTCCCATGTCCAAGCGGATGGAGCCGGAGCCGGAGCTGGTGACGGAGCACCGTAGAAGGAGGTAGGGGTGGCCAAGCCGGCGAATTGCTGCTGTTGCGGCGGGTGACCAGCGAACTACTGCTGCTGCTGCTGCTGGTGGCCGAGGAAGAACTGCTACTGCCGTGCAGGCGCATTGGCGACGAAAGCCTGTCTGTCCGGGCAAGACGGCAAAGGTCCCCGTGAGAGGGTTCCAATTCGTCGGCCAGGGTCGACCATGCGGGCGACCAGCCGTGTTGGAGCGCCAGCGCCGGCGCACCCGGTTGTATTGTAGCTGCTGGAGCCGCCACCCGGGCTTCCAGGGTGCTGTCCGCCCTGCCCCTGGCTGCCTTGGCCCTGGCCGGCTGAGGCACCAGAGCCTCCGGAACGGGGCGCTGGCGGGCGTGACGAGGAAGAAGAAGCCGAACGCCGTCGGAGTGGTAGACTTGCTGGCGAGAGTCACTTCCTCGATGAGCAAGTCCGCACGAACATCGGAGTAGGACGGAAACGGGCGTGTGAGCTTGATCATCGCAGCCATGTGAGAGTATCGTTCATTGAGGCCACGAAGAACATTTAGAACCAAGGTGCGGTCCAAGACCGGCTCACCCAAAGTTCACAAAGCGTCCGCCATACGCTTCATCTTGTTGCAATAATCGGTGACAGAGAGATCCCCTTGAACAAGAGTCCGAAATTCGGCGTCGAGGATGATGGCACGAGTTTCCTTGTTGCCGATGAACTGATCCTCAAGACCAAGCCAGATAGTCCGTGACGTCGGGGAGACAGTGGACACGGCTTCAATAAAATCGGGCGACACGGTGCCAAAAAGCCATGACTTCACGGTGCAATCCATGCGATGCCAATGAGGATCCGTAGAGAAGTCATCATCAGTGAGCACAAGGCAGTCGAGGCCATATTTGGTCACCGTGTTGAGGAAGAGCGAGCGCGTAGAACGTGGACGTCTGCTTAAGGACGAGGGGAATCATTAGCTTGATGTTGTTCACCGCGATGGCCTGAGCATGGAGCTGAGCTTGCTCGGCGTTCTCGAACTCGGCGACGCGTTGATCAGCCGCCTCTGCCCGAGCAGTGGCCGCATCCGCCCGAGCAATAGCCGCCTGGGCTTGAGCAGTGGCGGCCTCGGCAGCAGCAATAGCTTCTTCGGCTGCCCGCTGAAGTTCATGCTGCGACCACGGGTAGTTCATGCTGCTGTCCGTGAAGAAGACGTCCCCGGTGACCTGGTCAACGTCGACCCCATTGGTGAAGCGTAGCGGCACGCCGTCGGCCTCCGCGGCCAGCACCGTGGCCTCGCTGCCGCCCGGGCCGACGCGCATCAGCCCCTTGTACGCGTCCGCGATGTAAAGGTTGCCCGACCGGTGGTGGAACCGCAGGCCCAGCGAGCGGCCGCACTTGCTCTCGGTGAGCTCCGCCGGCCGAGCCCTAGACGCCGTGCAGGCCTCAGCGTCGTAGCCCGGGCTGTACGCGTACGTCGACCACCCACGCGCAAACCCGTTCCACTTGAGGACGCGGCCGTCGGAGACGCCGCTGTAAGGACCGGCGCCCGCGCCGTCGAAGGCCGCGCAGCAGCGATCCCCGGCGTGGCAGGTGCTTGCTCCGGCTCCCGTCGATGGTGCTCGTCTCGGAGATGGGGCGAGCCGCGCACGACAGGAGTAGCAGCAGGACGGCGAGGCACCAGATCGCCAATGTCCGGGCAAGCTTGTTCCCCGTGCGGATCGCCATGGTTTCTGCGGTTTTCGAGGGCGCAGCCGCAGACAGTGTTCGTGTCGTGCGCTTGGCGGCTTGGACCTTGCGTTCGTTTGCTTGCGAACGGTGCCTTTGGTTTGGTGGAGAGAAGCGAAGGGCGCCGCCTCCTTTTATTAGCCTGGCTGGAGTAGCTTCTTTACGAATCGGGCAATGGACTCGGACTCGATCGGTGGTCTCGGACGTTCGGATTATCGGACTCGGTTTGATGGCCGCAGCCGCATGTTCCGTAATTCCGTTTGCCTTTGGGCTGTGTATATGTTCCAGACGGAAGAACGGAAGGTGACCTCCAATTATCGGACTCGGTTTAATAGACCGGGCCAGTATTGAGCAAGAAATTCTTGTGTTCTTGCGGTAATTATTTTGTCGTTGTACCAACTCAAAACGTTGGAAGTTTTGAATACATCAGTGCCTCCAGTGTCCAGTCAGTGCGACTGGAAATAGATGGGAGTGCGTGTAGTAGGAAATCAAACATTCATGAAGAAAGTTTCATCTCGATCCGTACGCATGCGTTGTGATCAGCATAAATTTCTCGCGAAATGCGCTGTGAACTACTCAGGGGCGCACGCAGGATGAGCAGCAGATCGATTCAATTTTGGCATAACAAGGGTGATTCGGCCGACACCTAACATCAAGAACTTACCAGAAAGATACACCGTGCCCAATCTATTTACAGTACTTATACCCCGTTTTTCATTCATTATACGCTGCCATAGGGCCAGCCAGCCATGAGCAAAGCAACTAACACGCCATGTGAAATCCACAAATCGGTGGGGTAGAATGTTAAAGATGAATTAACCACCACCACGCCACTCCACTCCACCCTCATGACGTTTTTGAAAATCCACAAGGTGCCACAGTTACCAGTACTACTTGTTCCACCTCACATTTCAACAGCTGCGACTCCATCTTACTTAAGGGCCCGTTTGGATTGCAGTAATTTCAAAGGAATGCAGTTCCTCCATTTTGATGGCGTCATGTGCCATTTGGAACAAAGGAATCGACCTTGCCGTTCCTCTGGAAAGGAACGCTTCCATTCACAAAACGCAGGAAAGAAAGAATCCACTCTGGTCCAAAGATTTCGCGTATGCCCGAGACGGACGCGCGCGTAGAGGTTAAGAAGCCGGTAGAAGCAAATGTTTTATGCCTCTTCTTACCTTTCCAAAGGGGTCAACTGCTCATCTTCTTGCTTGAGCTCATGGCCATCCGTCCATGGCCGACCTGGCACCAGGCTGGTGTGTGGGAGGGAGGGGGCGCAGGTGTCTGGCATGCCAGCGGCAATGCTAGGCGATGGCTGCGCGAGGGTCAGTGGCTGCCGGAGAGGCGGCGGTGGCGGCGCAACAACCAAGAGAGAGAGAGACTACGAGACTTGGAAGAGAACCCGATGAAAACGAGAAGACAAACGAGTGGATGAGAATGGCTCTGAACTTTAGTCAAATAACCATAGATAGTAGGCCCCACATGTAAGTGAGATCGCGAGGGGATAGAAGACCAATGTCATCACGGTGCTAGAGCCTAGATGATTCCGTATGTACTTTCATTTAAATTAAACATGCACTTGTGGCATGTTAATCGACAAACATAGAATTCTAAAAAAATATTTGCATGATTAGAAATCAAATTTATATATTTGTTTGATCATGACACACGTAGTACCTGTCAAAATAGTAATCACACATCTTTATTTGTTAATCAAAGTTTTACGTTGTAATGACAAATATTTGAATAATAAAACAAGTGTTCATCTCTTTTAATCATATCTCATGTTTTGGGAATCCTGTGTTATAATTCCTATGTTCCAAACACCCCAATCTATATTTTTCTGTATTTTTCCTTTCCTCTGTTTCCATAGCACCTACGTCCCTATTCCAGCGTTTTTTTTTTCTTTCCTCTGTCATCCATTTTTTTGGTTTGATGATGCAGAAGCTAACAAGCAAATTCAGATATCAAGATGAATGAGCAAATATTTTGCCCTGATTTTTGGCCTACCAGAATGGACAGACGGAAATGTGAGCCCCAATATTCGAGGCAACATTTGCTACTTGTCAGTTAACTAGCAAGGGATTTACAAACAATTTCAATACTCCAAAATTATTGACCGTTGAAGAATAAATGCAGAATACAAGACATGTAAGCAATTCAAGAACCGTGATTCCGAAGGCAAATCATATCAAGAACCGACTGTTACTCGCAAAAGGACAGAAGATGGAAGCAGAGCAACGATATGTCGGTCTGTGGCACCTGGCACGGTGACTACTGCACTCCTCGCTGCCGAGCTCCACGTGCCGGCGGTGTGGATGGAAGCAGGACAGCTGGGAAGGGATCGCGGGCCTCCTTTTCCGAGTCGAGTACATGGATTGCTATATACCAGCGCTTGGCCACGATTCAAATTTCTCAACATATCTCGCCTCGTTACTTCGATTTCTGATCCGGTCGAGGTGTTGAGCGCTGTGATCTGGAGGCGTGGTGCCGATGAGAACCAACAAGAGGATGAAGACCGAGGCACTCATCAGCACATGGGCAGAGCTGCCGGACGAGATCATGATGGAGGTCTTGCTGCGGCTGCCGGTCAAGTCCACCCTCCGCTTCCGCGCTGTGTGCCGCGCCTGGGCCGCGACCCTTTCCTCCGACGAATTCCGCGCCCTCCACATGGCGAGGGCAGAGGCAGGCGCGGCTTCGGCTCAGCCCAGGCTGCTGGTCGTCGCGCCCACGTCCGCGGCGTGCGAGGCCACGGCGGTGTACTCCTGCTCGCCGCCAGAGCCAGGCGCGAGCCTCCTGCTCACGCTCGGCGACTTGAGGGGCGACTTCGTGGACGGCATAGCCGCCCCGTGCCGCGGCCTCGTCCTCCTGTACGACGCGGTGGCGCCGGCGTACTACGTCGTCAACGCGGCCACCAGGGCGGTCACGCGGCTGCCCCCTGGTCAGGACGTGGTCAACTCCAGCGCTGGCCTTGGCTATGACGCCCAGACGAACAAGCACAAGGTGATGAGGCTACTCAGAATGGGCAAAGATATCACGTGTGAAGTGTACACGCTCGGCGGCGTGCATGGCGATCGCTGGATGCTGGCCGCAGGAAGAGTGCCTTCGAGCCTCTCCACCACTGCTCAATGTGCCATCTACGCCGCTGAGTCCGGTAATCTCCCGCCGGTGTTCGCGAATGGTTCGCTGCTCTGGCTGATCTACGGAAGGTTTTCGCCCCAAAATTCAGCAGTTGCCGCCATCACATTTTCAGTCACCGAGGAGACCTTTGGTTGGGTCAAGGCACCTCCATGCGGTACGTTATTAGGAGTGCAGTTGGTGGAGCTTGACGGCTGCTTGTGCATGGTTAGAGACCTTCGCCACGGCTCACCTGACTGCAATAGCGCAGTGGAGATTTGGAAGCTGCAGGACTACACCAGTGGCATTTGGTCGTTGGATACTCGCGTTGATCTGTCACATGCCGGAGTAAGTTTGCTTACGCCGAAGGTTATCAGAGTCCTTGGTGCCACTGGTGATGGCAGATCAGTGAAGAAGATAGTCATGGCAACATCTAACCACACCGTTCACGCCTATGACACCATGTCAAAGAATGTAGAAACCATCCTCTCAGTGGCAGACGACACAGAAATGAGCTATCCAAGCGACCGCACTGCCATACGTATTTGTTTATTTAAAGAAACTTTTGCTCCTGTCCACAAAACACAAGAAGAGATATCTTTTTCATCTCCTTTGGCCAAGGCGACTAGGGAGATCCTGCTCCGTCTCCCTCCTAGATCCATTGTACAGTTCAAGCGTGTCTGCAGCCAGTGGCGCAGATTGATCGAGGATAAGGGTTTTATCCATTCCTACTTTGCACATAAGAGCTTGGAAAACAGAGCAAAGATCATGATTGTGGGTAAGGGCACCGGCAGAAGAAAGTTCTTTCGTTTTGCTCCCTTGGAAAACTGGCGTTCAGATGCTGCTGACGAAGACGCATGGCTCGACTCAAAGGTGGTTTGTTCCAAGCCTTGCCATGGCCTGAACTTGCTAATCACTGCAGAACTGGATTATCTCTACAACCCATGCACGGGTTACTGCAGGACCAATGCCTATCCAGGGTCACTTCCCTGTCCACCATGGGAGACACCTACTGATGGTGGGATATTACAGGACCACGCCTTTGCTATAGGCAATAAGAATGTTGGCTTGGGGTTCAACCCATTTAATCAGGAGCATGTTTCTGTGATAATACTCTACCAATATAAGGACTTCAAAACCCGTGAGTATCGCTTGACATGCTCAGTTTGGCATTGTAGGGCTGGGTTCTTTCAAGAGGGTTTGGTCCCATGGCTTCCTGTGAATAACATGCCACCAGCTTATGTGGATGGGATGTTGTTCTGGATGAGTGACCCTATGTTGGGCCCAATAAGTGAGTATGCCATTTTGTGTTTCGACATTGCCACGGAGAAATTTGATGTCGCTTCTTGCCCACCGGAAATTAATACTGCAAACTGGAGCATCCATAGCACATGGAATTTGTTTGTGGCAGAGCTCAGAGGAAAGCTATGTGTTGTTCTTGCAGACTTGAAGAGAGATGAATTAGTGATATGGGAGTTGGAAAATGGCGAGTGGGATGAAATATACACGGTACGGTTGGAAGCGTCGCCTAACTATTCCCTTCGTTCGAATGTTGTAGTGCCGTTGGCAGTTGATCCAATGGATGGCAGCATCTTGCTAAGCACCGGCAGGAAGATGGGATTCTATGATCCAGTGAACGAGACTGTTGGGGAATTGTATGACGTTGATGAGATTTTGCGTACATATAAAATGACAGGAGCCTATTCTCAAGGAGCTCCATGCCAGGAGCAAGCTATGCCTCTTGTTCCCATGCTTTACGAGGGAAGTATAGTTAGTTATCCCCGTATGCGCAAGGATAAAATTCTGCACTGATAACTTGGCGCTCTGTGGTCAGGACTATCAGCTGTTTATATTAGCTCATTACAGCCCTTCACATTGAAGGTGTGAAGTATAATAATGTACTACATAATAGCAGTTCTAGGTTTTATTATTAATTTGATGTATTATATTTAGGCATTCTGATGTGCTTTTTTTTTTGGAAAACAAAAGGGGAGGGGGGAGTTTCCCCACCAGATTCCATTAGAGACAAACAAAAGCTCCAGCTAGCTGGAGTGAGCAGCAGAGTTACAAGCGAGAAGGTAGCCGCGCCAGTCGTTCAGACTGTTTACAAGGTTGCCATGTTTAAGGCGTTTTCGCCAGATTACAAAATCATCACAGATACGATTAATGATCAGCCGGCTATCGGCCCTCTCACCCCCTGAAGATTTCTCCATTCCTGGCATCCCATAGCCGCCAGAGTATAGTTAACAAGACAAAAGGCCAAAGCTTCACATCCAAACTTGGGGGGGGGGGGGGGAGATGACAAAGCTCCAGATATCTTCATCAGAAAGGAACGAAGCGCCATCAAAACCAAGCTTCCGCCAGACCTCTGAGCTTGCTGTACACATGAAGAACGCGTGGTGCCTGTCCTCAACGGTGTTGGCGCATCTCTGGCACTGATCGCTGTCCAGGACATGTTTGGCATGTAGGTTTGAAGTACTGCCAGGCAAACACCTTCACCTTATTTGGGACCCGAGTCGCCCAAATACGTCGACCATGCGTGTCTGGCGTGCCCTGAGTTCGGTCGAGAGCAGCATAAGCATCTTTTGAGGTGTACGACTTCCCAGTCAATTTCATCAGTCTGATGTCCGGACCTTCCCTGAGGCTGATTTCCTGCAAGCTAGACAAAAGGTTAGCTAGCTGGGCACTAGCAGCGTTGGTCAGCCTTGGCCTGAGGCACAATTCAAACCAGTTCTGGAAAACATTTTGCACCGAAACATTAGGCCGAATAGTGTGAGAGAAGAGGGCAGCATGGGAAGAACAGATGGGGCTGTCAGGAAGCCAATGATCAAACCAAAAAGAGGTGGATGAGCCGTCACGAATATTAACATAGGTAATGGACCGAAAGGTGTTGAGCTCATCGTTGATGATCCTCCAGAGATAACCGTGGGTACCGTCGAAGGTCGCTGCATCGCGAAGAATCCACTCTTTCCAGGCAACCGGCTCGCCAGAGAATAGTTTGTTGATGAACTTCATGAGCATGCATCGGTTTTGAAGATGTAAGTCTTTTACTCCGAGGCCACCAGCCTCTTTGCTGGCCTGAACGTTCTCCCAGGCAACCAGGCATTTGGAGCCATGGCAGACATGAGACATCATCACCCGTCCAGAAAAAAGCTCTGCGTCGTCGATCAATGGCCTTGATCACAGTTTTGGGGATGTTAATTGCAGACATGTAATGTAGAGGGACAGAGCTAAGGACAGCAGTGGAGAGGGTAAGACGACCAGCTCTGTTGAGCAGCGAGGCACGCCAACCAGCGAGATGCTTATCACAAGAAGAAATTAAAGGCAGGCAATCAGCCACAGTGATTTTATGTGGGGATAAGGGGAGGCCAAGGTAAGTTTGAGGAAATGAGGAGACCGTAGTACCGAATATGTTGGCAAGAGATAGAGCCGTGTTAGGCGGGTACACCGATAGGGAGGAAGGTGGTCTTGTGGTAGTTGATAGAAAGGCCCGTTGCCTCCTCAAAGTGTTAGGATCGATGATTAGTACCTCTGTGTGTGAAACTCGTAGATCTGGGGAAGACCCTTCTCGTCTTTTACTGTTGCGGCACAGCAACAGCGTAGACGCCGGTGTAGGGGCAGCTCCGGCTCGGTGGCGAGACGGCGGTCCGATGTGGACCTGCAGGGGAACGACGGTGGTGGTGGGACACATCCCGTCGCTGGCAGCACGGCCTCTAGATCGGTTTAGGGTTTCTGTGAGTGGGATGGCGGCTCCGTTCAACCTCGTAGTCTGAGCCCTCATCCCCACCTTCCTTTTATGTGTGATGTGCGATAGGGGCCCACCAACCGGATTAGGGTTGGGCTCCCCCGATCAGGAAGCAGAGATAAGGGCCCAATAGGCCGTTGGGCCTATTGGTGGAGATCAACTAACATTCTCCCCCTTGATCTCATTCCATCTTTCACTTTCATATCATTTACTTTTATTCATTCCATTATAGATTAACGCATAGAGCATGTCTCATCGTCACGGTCCATTGCCGATAGACTTAACAGCTACAAAACACTACTCTGTTTTGAAATAGATACTTATCTTTGGGCCTTCTTTTGTTCAGGAATATTTTAGGCTTTCCCTTAAACCCATGCTTCCTACATGTTCTCTGAACATGTTGGGTGGTAAGCCTTTTGTAAGCGGATCCGCGAGTATCCTTTCTATACTTATATGCTCAAGACTTATGACTTGATCCCGGACTTTATCTTTCACAACATAATACTCTATGTCAATGTGTTTGACAGCACCACTTGACTTATGTTGTGAGCATCCTGTACTGCCAGATTATAATCGCGGTATTACTTTAGTGATCTATAGATGTCGTCAACCACCTTCAAACCGGGTATGAACTTTGTTAGTTAGTTCACCTGCCCATTGCCTCATAACATGTTACAAACTGTCATACATTGTGGACGATGTAGTGACAGTTTGCTTTGAGCTTTTCCATGAAATAGCTCCCCTTTACGAGATGATAGAAAATCCACGTCTGGATATGCATTCACTCTCGCATAATCAGAATCTAAATATCCCACCAAGTGGAGTGAATCAGATTTTCTATATGTCATCATGAGGCCTTTCGTTCTTTGCAAATAATGCAAGACTTTCTTTACTAATTTCAGTGTTCTATTCCAGAATTGCTCTAGAATCTGCCAAGTAAAACCCGGTAACAAATGCCAAGTCAGGGCGCGTACATACTTGAGCATGTTGCAAGCTTCCGACAGCTGAAGCATATGGAACCACTTTTACTTTATCGATTGAGCTCATATTGGTTCCTAGGGCATTGAAAATCCCTATATTTGTTGCCCTTGACTATAGGAGCAGGTGATGGACTACATTTGTGCATACTAAATTTCTTTAAGATCTTTTCTATGTATGCCTTTTGTGACAGTCCTTATACCCTTTTTCTTCTATCTTGGTGAATCTCGATCCCTAGAATGAACGAGGCTTCATCAAGATCTTTCATATCAAATTTCTTTATCTCCAGTAGTAAACTGACATCACTACTAGCAAGTAAGATATCATCTACATACAGGACAAGAAAGATAAATTTTCCATTCTTAAACTTTGTATTGACACAATTGTCCTCTATATTCTCTTTACTTTGTATAGACATAATTGTCCTCTATATTCTCTTTAAAACCCAAAATTCTTTATTGTTTGATCAAACTTCAAGTACCACTGTCTTGAAGCTTGTTTTAATCCATAAATTGATTTCTTTAGGCGGCATCCCATTCGTTCTTTTTCTTCCATGACAAAACCTTTCGGTTGTGCCATGTAAATATTTCCCACCAAGTCTCCGTTGACAAATGTCGTCTTTACATCCATCTGATGTAATTCTCAATCGTAATGTGCCACTAATGCCATTATGATTCTGAAGGAAACTTTACATGAGACCGGAGAAAAGGTCTCATTGTAATCAATCCCTTCTCTTTGCATAAAGCCTTTTGCCACAAGTCACGCTTTATATGTCTCTATATTCCCTTGAGAGTCATGTTTAGTCTTGTAGACCCATTTACAACCTACTGTTTTGACTCCTTTAGGAATTATTTTCAAATCCCAAACTTTATTGACATTCATCGATTTTATTTCATCTTCCATGGCCTCAAGCCACTTTGATGAATGATCACTTCTCATGGCTTTTTCAAATGAGGTGGGATCATCCTCCATTTGAAATTCCTTAGTGTTATACACTTCATAATCAACAGAAATAGCTGATTTTCTAACTCTTTGAGACCTACTAGGGGCCTTCACATTTGGCACATCTTCTATTTGAGGCTGTTGTTGCTCCCCCTTATGCGTAGCAATAGGTTCTATAGAATCCTGAAAAACAGGTTCCTTATCGTCATTCATTGTTGCCACAGGTGGGATAACAACAGTCTTTGGCACCACAAGATCTAGCACCTTTGTCGGTGCAATGACAAAGCAGTAGTGAGAAAATTGGCTTATGAATCATTGGAGTGGGCGCATACACCCGCTTCACTTCAAGGTCAATTTCTCGAGCTACCATGCTCCCCTCATCAATTCATCCTCTAGGAAGACAGCGTGTCTCGTTTCCATAAACTTTGTATGTCTCTCTGGACAGTAGAAAACGAAAACATTTTGACTTTTCTGTGTAGCCAATGAAATGGCAACTTACTGTTTTGGGATCTAACTTCCTAATGTTTGGGTTAACTACTTTAGCCTCAGCAGGGCTCCCCCCCACACACGCAAGTGGTTTAGTGAGAGCACTCTTTCTGTCCACAACTCATACGGTGTTTTGGGCATCGACTTACTTGGTACTCTTTTGAGAGTATGAATGGGGTTTTTAACGCCTTCATCCACAGGCTCAACTGTAAGGTGGAGTAACTTATCATACTACCCACCATATCCATCAGGGTACGATTGATTCTTTTAGTTACTCTATTCTGCTGAGGTTCGTCCGGTGTAAAATACTGGGCTACTATGCTATTCTTTTAGTGTATGCTGACCGTAGTACTCCTCCATGGTCAGACCTGACTATCTTAATCTTTAATATCTTAAATTTATCCAATACATCTTTTCTTTCTTTGATTGGATAAATATAGTCATAATGGGAGTAATCATCTGTGAATGTTATGAACGAATTATAACCATCCACACTCTTTACAGGAAAGCCGACCACAGATGTCAGTGTGGATAATCTGTAAAATTCCTGTGCTTCGTTTGTCATCTTTCTTTACATACTTTCTTTTTATGCATTCTCTGCATTGTTCTTAATTTGAGAGCTCTAATGGAGGAAGAATATCATTCTTAACTAGTCTTTCTATTCTCCCCCTCGAAATATGGCCTGAACGATAGTGCCATAATTTCGACAACGCATCGTGAGCTCTCTAATGTCACCATTTCCAGAGTAACACTCTGTCACCAACTGCTTTATCAGCTGTGTAGCATATGTCTTTGAAGAGCCAGTGAACTAACTCTTTATTCTATCGAGGTACTCGATGATCGTGTCACATTCTAGGATTGAGCCCATAATTGCAGGTTCAATCATATTCTTTATCACAACCAAACATTTTTTGTTGGCAGTGACCCACTTTCTATGCTCAAAAGTCATAGGACATCTTTTGGGATTCAAAATCCCTTTCTTTAGTTGCCCAAGTGGCATCGTTCTCTTTTGTCTCCCTCACCGGTGCCACAAACTCAGTGGAACACGTTGAGCTGACTACCCAGTCCACCTCAGTTAAGATGAAAACCAGATCAAACTTTTTCTTAACATATAAATTACACCATTTGCATGCCTTGATTCCAACGTTGGTCAAAATCAAAACATACAATTATTCTTATACATTAATTCTACATCACCGTTGGACAGAAATAGAATTAATGCATAAATCATTAACATTATCAACTTTTCTTATACACTAATTCTACATCACCGTTGGGCAGAAGTAGAAATAATGCATAAATCATTAACATTATCAACTTTTCTTATACACTAATTCTACATCACCGTTGGGCAGAAATAGAATCAATGCATAAATCATTAAAATTACAATATTGTTATTAACAACGTTGATCAGAAAATAACAATATCATAATCATATCAAAACTCTTTTTCTCCAATTAAATACCACATTGGTTCAAAATAACTGGAGAATCAACAATTTCTTTAGCAGCGGAAAAACTTTCTTTTTCTCCAATTAAATATCGCGTTGGTACAAATTAACTGTAGAATAAACAATTTCTTTGACTGTGGAAAAACTCTCTTTTCCATAAATTTTACCCACGGGGAAAATTGCTTTTTCTATTTCCTTTAATCCATTAATCAATTTCCAGGAAATAAACATTTACTGGAAAAACTTTCCTTTTCTCCAGTTAAATATCATGTCTGTTCAAAATCACTGGAGAATGTACTTACTCAATTTCTTGAATTTTACCCACAGGGAAAAATTACTTTTCTATTTTTCTTTTGAGCCAATTTGCATATTCAATTTTCCAGAAAAAATAAAAAACGAAACTGGGCTCTTGCCCACGGCCCACAGCCGCACGCGCCCTTCCCGCGCGCTCACCCGCGCCCAGGCCGCAACCTGGGCCTGGGCTGGGAAAGTGGCCTCACGGCCTCGCCCGCCTGGGCCGAAAGGCGGCCCGGTTGATCTGCGCCATTCGTTCTGATCGGATGGTCGCGCGCGCGGATAGGGAGAACAAAACCCCGCCCGCGGCCGCGCCCTCCAAACCCTAGAGTCATTCGGCTCTTTCCTCTTCTCCGTCTACGCCACTCTCTTCTCTCTCAGCGCACCCGCAACCACCGAGAGGATACCGAGCAAGAGCGAGCAGCGACCATGGCACCGTCGCCGGCCCCTTCGCCGGCGCGCATGCTCCCCAACGGGTGAGCACGCCGCCGTCGAGCGGCCTGGCCACGGCGCCCCCTTGGCCGAGCCCGGAGAGCCAGCTCCCCGGTTCGGCTTCTTCTCCCGCGCCGGCGAAGGGACATCCGACGCGCAGCGAGGTAGACTTTCTTCTCCCTTCGGATTCGATTTCTATCTTCTTTCTTTTCTTTTCACTCGTTCACCCGAAAAGGGATCTAGGGTTGGGGTTCGGTTGAACCCGATTCGTGTTTTTTTTTGTTTGATTCGAGTTCTCCAAGATTATCCCCTTTCCCCTCTTTGGATTTGGGTCTGCTTTTCTCTTATCCGAACAAGGATTTAGATCTAGGGTTCGGAGTCCGACCTTCCCCTTTTCCCCTTCTCTGATTTGTCTTTGGATCTACCATCCGAATCGGTTCCCTTCCCTTTCTTCCCCTTTCCCCTACTCTGATTTGGATCTGATTTTCTCTTATCTGAACTGATGTGGGGAATTAGGGTTTGGGTCTAGGGTTCCTTTTCTTTCTTTTGATTCGACCGATTCGGTTGTTCCCTTTGGAGTTCATCCGAATGGCTTTCTCCTTTTTTTCCCTTTCTCCATGCGAGTTAGGGTTCGGCCAAATCCGAATTAGATATGTTCTGTTCTTGTGTTAGGGTTCGGCTTCGTGAGCCGAGGGCCCTATCTCTTCTCTGATCCGAATGGATCTGTTCTTTTCCCCCGCGCGGTGGCGGTGGTGACCGGGTTCCAGTGACATCCGCCACCTCCGGTCCCTTTTCTTTGCTTTTACCCGGTTAGGGTTAGGATTACACAGAGGCAATCTGGCTCTGGTACCATTGTTAGGATCGATGATTAGTACCTCTGTGTGTGAAACTCGTAGATCCGGGGAAGACCCTTCTCGCCTTTCACTGTTGCGGCACAGCAGCAACGTAGACGCCGGTGTAGGGGCAGCTCCGGCTCGGTGGCGAGACGGCGGTCCGGTGTGGACCTGCAGGGGAACGACGGCGGTGGTGGGACACATCCCGTCGCTGGCAGCACGGCCTCTAGATCGGTTTAGGGTTTCTGTGAGTGGGATGGCGGCTCCGTTCAACCTCGTAGTCCGAGCCCTCATCCCCACCTTCCTTTTACGTGTGCTGTGCGACAGGGGTCCACCAACCGGATTAGGGTTGGGCTCCCCCGATCAGGGAGCAGAGATAAGGGCCCAATAGGCCGGTGGAGATCAACTAACACAAAGATCTCCAGGATTTGCTTAGTTTGAATGATGGTTTTAGGGGAGCATTTAAGAAAGATGAGAGTATCGTCAGCGTACTGAAGCACGGTTCAGGGAGCATCACAGATGAGAGGGTGCCCGATGGCATTAGCAAGGAGGGGGTGATGGAGTAGCCGGCGAAGGACGTCAGCAACAATGATGAAGAGGTAAGGTATGGAGAAAGGGGGTCTCCCTGCCGAAGACCATTACGGCAATTAATCCATCTGCCCGGGATGCCGTTGAGGAGCACAGCAGTTTTACCAGTGCGTCCCACTATGGATGCATTTAAATAATTTGAATCTTTGCCTGCTGTAGCATTGGTGTAATGAACAGGTACAGGCTAAGATACCACTCCTTAGTACTGATGAAACCTACTGACTTGAGTTTAATGTTCTTCAAAAACAGAGAAACAGAATTGGTTGCAGAAACTGCTGAAAATATTCACAAGCAACACAGACCATCTGAGATTCCACCTGAAATATCAACTTTGATTGGACATAAGTTCACTATGATTGTAACATACGGCTACTCTTCTCCTACATCAAGGAGAAACATGTTTACTAGCGCAGCAGATTGCGCGCAAGGAGCTTCTCAGTTTTGGACAGAGATATCACATCGTGTCCTTGCTGACAGAAGTCGTAGACACAAACCTCCACCCGATCAACCTTATGGTCCATAAGCTGGTGAATTGGTGCAAAGTAATACTGAAGGTGATTCTCTGTCCTCTTTGCCATCCATAACATTTGTCCATAAGGAAATGAACATGGCTGCCACAAGAAAAGATCTGAACCTTCGAGCTTCACTTCAGGCAATTTCTCTCTCCGATATTGCAACCTTTTGCCTTTCTCAGCTTCAGCAGAGTCACAAGCGCAGCTACAACACTCACATACCACGGATTGCAGCACTTGAGCCTATAGAAGGCCGTCTCCTCGCGGCAGACCTCACACCTGTAGAAGGGTGGAGGGTGAGGGTATCCGTAACCACCTCTGGGTCCTAGAGTGGCGAGATAGGTTTCGCCCTCCCATGTTGAGACAAGTTTGGGGCGTCCAATATGTGTCTGAAATGGAAACCAACAAATTATTCTCTAACTTCGACCAAGTTTTTAGAAAAAAATATATAAACATCTATGGTTTAAACAAATGCTTTAATAAAATTTATTTCATGAAGAAATGACCGGAACTAATTTAATGTTCTAGATGTTTGTGCATTTTTGTATAAACCTAGTCAAAGTTAAATAAGTTTGACATACGAAAAACTAAAAGTGAACTATGAATTGGAATGGAGGGAGTAGTAGAGAGAAAAAGAATTTAACAGAATGGTAATCAAGAGTTATAGACATTAGTACATTACATACATACATATATATATATATATATATATATCAAGTACACTTACTGGAAAGAAGATCAGATAATATACATGTATGCACAAGGAATGCATACAAATTTCCATTTCAATCAGAATAGATCTTAATAAACTACCTCATAATGCAAATATTTTAAGATTTAAAAACAATAATCTTCACTGACCTGGAGCAATCTTGACTCACTGGTAGCATCTAATGCACCTGCATGTTAAAGGTAAACTATCTGAAGAGCAAGCTCAGCACATAAAAGGTACTTGATTAATTCTGTCAACTACATAATTGATATTGGGTTTATGGAGCATGCATTTGCAAGAAAAAATAGCTACCTCTCCTATCCAGCACAGAAGGACGCCTGGGTAAATGAAATCTGACAGGTTCGCGTGGCGACATAGCAAGAGGCTTCTTGAATTGTGTACTACGATTGCCACCCTCAAATGCATCAACGAGCTCAAGTTTCGAATCACTAGCTGCAACATATATGATTCTCGCAATTTCAGATTTTACTGAAGATATGATGAATTTCATGAGATCCAGTCCGAGTCCAATACCTGAGGATATACGAGATGACACAGTGTCAGTCTGCCAATATCGATGATCAGAAACCTCATTCTTCTTTCCGCTGACCTGAGGATCTCTCCAATCAGTGTCAGCACCTATTGCACATATGTTGATGAGAAACATGTGATGAGAAACTCTGACACATCAATCTAGCTGGATTTGCAAGAACAATATATCGATGATCTGTGATTGGAGGAGACAAGTGAGAAGACTACCTCCCCTTTGCAGCTGGGAAGGTTGCCTGGTTTTCTGCAGTCTGATGTTTTCCAGTATAGCAGAACTCTTTGCAGAATCTATTCTGGCTGGCAACCTCCTCTGCACTTTGTCCTGCGACAGTACATTTGATCTAACTATTCACTTTGTGCTCCAACGGACAGAGAAAATAACAAAAGTGCATACAAAAAACGTGGGAGCTGCATGTAACAATTGAATGGAATCAGCTAAATAATCCAGTATTTGGTTTGATGACGCAGAAGTTAACAGACCGATTCAGATATCAAGATTGGTGACCAAATGTTGCCCTGACTTTCTGGCCTTCTAGAATCGACAGACAGAGATGTGTGAACAAGCCCAAATCTTCGGAGCAACATTTCCTACTTGTCGTTGGCCCCTGGATCTCCGGCACGGGTGAGCCGATCACTCACCGGCGTTGCCAACCATACACTATGGCTGAAGGTAGAAGAAGGGAGGGAGAACAGAGCACACACACAGCACAAACACTAGCATTGACCGGAGCTCTGCAGAGGAGATGGTAAACCTGAACTCGCTCTCTTTACTGAGTTGCAGTGGAAAAACATATATACAACTATACCCATCTAATCCTAGTACACAGACATGTCAGGCTGCCATGCTGCTACAGTGACCAGATCTGACAGCAGGGCTGACTTTGGCGTCTGCTCCTGCTGTGGCTACAGTGTGGCAGGTGAGCCTTTCGGCGCTTACCCCTGCAGCGGCTACCGTGCATAACAGGGAAGCCCTTTCGACGCCTGCCCCTGCCGCGCCGTACAGAGTAGCGCAGCAGATTACTTAACAATTCTTCCCCTAATCCTGCTGATAACTCTAGAACCTCCTCCATGCCGATCATCTTCTTCAGCTCCGTGAACCGAAGACGGCCGAGCGGTTTGGTGAGGACGTCCGCGAGTTGCCGACCATTTTCGACGAACTCGATGACGATCTGCCCTCCATCGACACAGTCCCTGAGGAAGTGGAACTTGATGTCGATGTGCTTGCTCCGGTCGTGGAGAACCGGATTCTTCGCGAGGGCGATGGCAGGCTGGTTGTCCACCATCAGTGCTGGTGGGTGAGCTTCCACACCGGTCAGCTCGCCCAGCAGCCGGCGCAGCCACACAGCGTGGCACGCCGCTGTGGCTGCCACCACGTACTCTACCTCGCACGTGGACAACGCCACCATCTTCTGTTTCAGCGACAGTCATGAGATTAGAGCCGACCTGAGAAAGACGAGCACGCCAGAGGTGCTCTGCCGTCCGTCGATGCCCCCCACCATGTCTACATCGCTGAACACAGTGAGCTGCATCCTACTTCCGCCGGTCTTGGGGAAGACGATCATCTAATCCACCGTTCCCTTGATGTAGCGCAACAACCGCTTCACCACAGCCCAGTGATCCTCTCGGGGATCCTACATGAAGTGGCTGACGTAGCCCACGACAAACGCAATGTTCGGCCTCGTGTGGACTAGCTAGCGCAGACCGCCGACGATGCTCCGGTAGAGTGTTGCATCTACCTTCGCCGCGGTACTGGCTTTCGTCAGCTTCAGCCGCTTCTCCATCGGAGTCACGTACGACTTGCACTCAGCTATGCCGCTCCACTCCAACAGCTTCGAGGCGTACGCGCTCTGACCGAGCATGAGCGCCTCCTTCCCCTATCTCACCTCGATGCTGAGGCAGTAGGAGAGCACGCCGAGATCGCTCATTCGAAAATGAATTGCCATCTCGCGTTTGAAGCTGTCGATGTCCTCCGCACGCGCGTCGGTGATGATCAAGTCGTCCACATACACGTCGACGACGACCTCCTTCTTCCCTGTCGTCGCGTGTAGAGCGCGTGCTCGGTTGCGCACTGCGTGAACCCAAGCTCACCCAGCGTGGCGTCAAGCTTGGCGTTCCATGCTCGTGGGGCCTGTCGCAGCCCATAGAGCGCCTTGCACAGTCGGAGCACCCTGTGCTCCGCTTCCTTGATGGCGAAACCCAGAGGTTGCCTGACGAAGACCGTCTCGGCCAGATCGCCGTTGAGAAAGGCCGATTTTACGTCCAGGTGATTGACGCGCCAGTCCTTCGATGTTGCCAGAGCCAGCAGCAGTCAGATAGACTCCATGCGCGCTACCGGTGCAAAGACTTCCTCGAAGTCGATGCCCTCGCGCTGGACAAAGCCTTGGACGACGAGGCGCGCCATGTGCTTGACATTGGCGCGGCACTCGTCCCACTTGACCTTGTACACCCACTTCAGGCCGATCGGACGACATCCGTGAGGTGGATTGACGAGTTCCCAAGTCTTGTTTTCTTCGATCGCTTTTATCTCCTCCAGCATCGCCCGTCGCCAATTTGCATTGTGCTCGGCCAGTGCGAACGTGGGTGGTTCCTCTGCACTATAGAGAAGCAGCTCTGGGTCATTGAGCAGCCGACCCACCAGGCCTGAGGACCCTGTGTCGCCAACGATGTCGTCCAGCCTGTGGAACTGCACCTTCTCACCATCGTGGAAGGCATCCACGAACTCAATGATGTCGTTTGGAGGTGAGGCGAACTTGATCGGCGTCGATGGATTCTTCTATTCCACTAGAGTGGTCGGCACAGCACCTAGATTGCTCGAAACCCCGGCTGCAGTGCTCGGTACTACTTCTGCACCGTTCATCACCACTCTTGGAGTGGTTGGCACCACTGCAGGAGTGGTCGGCACTAGTCTAGGAGTGGTCGGCACCACTGCAGGACCGCTCGGCACCACTCCTGGAGTGCTCGGCACCCCTCCCGGAGTGCTCGACACCGCCCTAGGAGTGCTCGGCTATGTCGTTGGAGTGGTCGGCGCCACCGTAGAACCGCTCGGTACCACTCCTGGAGTGCTCGGCACCCCTCTTGGAGTGCTCGGCACCGCCCAGGAGTGCTCGGCTCTGTCGCTGGAGTGGTCGGCACCTCCTCTCCAGTGTCTCCACCACCGTAGATAACCAAGTGCTCGACGACGAAGGTGCTGGTGAAGCCGCTAGCTTCCCCCGTGCCCGGACAGTCCCAGTCCTAGGCCGCCTTCTCGTCGAACACAATGTCACGTGAGAAAACCACCTTACCTCCACGTGGGTTGTAGAGCTTGTACGCCTTGGTACCTTCCATGTAGTCCTAGAGCACCATCGGTGTGCTCCTGTCCTCCAGCTTGGTGAGGACCGGCTTCGTCTTCCTGACGTGGCTGATGCAGCCGAATGTCCAAAGGAATGACAGACTCGGCTTGCGCCCATACCAAGCTCCACACGACGTCTTGCCCATCAGGGCCTTGGTGGCCGCACGGTTGAGGATGAACACCGCTGTGGTCACCGCCTCACCCCAGAACCTTGTCGGCATGCCTTTGGCCTTCATCATGGAACGAGCCATGCTGACCACCATCTGGTTCCGGTGCTCCACCACGCCATTCTGCTGTGGTGAGTATGGCGCGGTGTGGTGTCGCACCACACCCTGACCCATGCAGTACGCAGTGAACTCCACCGAAGTGAATTTACCACTACGATCAGTCCGTCGCACGCACAGCTTCTTGCCGCTCTCCGCCTCCGCGTGCACCTAGAACTTCTTGATCGCCTTTGCCGCCTCGTCCTTGCCCGTCAGGAGTAGCAGCCACATATAACGATTGCAATCATCCATGAGCAGGAGGAAGTACCGCCGATCACCGTTTGTGGCTTACGTGATTGGCCCGTAGAGATCGTCGTGGACGAGCTTGAAAGCGTCCGCCGCACAATACTTGGCCACCTTTAGGATTGGCAGCCTCCTCTGCTTCCCGGCTAGGCAGCTGTCACACAGCTCGCCTACGTGCGACGTCGTCATCAGGAGAGTGGCCTCATCATCCTCATCAGCCTACGCTAAATGAGCCTTAGCCTTCCTCTCCTGCTTGTGATTTGGGCACTCCTTTGTCCAATGGCCTGTCTTCCCGCAGCGTCGGCAGGCGTTGGGGTCGACCTTCTTCTTCTTCTTCTCTGAAAAAGCCTTGTCGCGGCGCTTGCCATCGCCACCGCGACTGGAGGAGGCTTCCCCAGAGTTCCTACGGGCAGCCCACTCCTCTGTCAGCAGCAGCTTGCCGCTCGTTGCTGTGGTCTGCTCCATGCGCTTGTCCATCACCCGCAGACGGTCTGTCACATCCTTAATAGTGAGTGTAGACAAGTCCAACATCGTCTCTATGGATAGAGCAATCTGGAAGTACTTCGTCGGCACGGATTGGAGGTACTTGGAGACCGCCTCTTCTTCGTCGATGGTGACACCGTGGCTCCTCAGCTTGCTGATGAGCGTTTGTAGGCAGAGGGAGAAGTCCTCCACCGACTCACCATCCTTGAACTTAAGGTTGACGTACTCCTGCTTCAGCAGCTGGGTCGTCGCCTTCTTTGCGCGGTCGAAACCGACGCGCATTGCCGCAATGGCCTTCCACGCCTCCTTAGCAGAGCTCTTCGCCCCAACGGCTCCCTGTACTCTGCTGGCACTACAGCGAGGATGGTTTCCAACGCTGACATGTCGTCTTTTTTGTTGTCGGTGTCCTTGTCAATGGCATTCCAGAGACGTCGGACTCTGAGCTTGATCTTCATGGTCACCATCCACTTGCCATAGTTGGTGCGAGTCAGCGTCGGCCAACTGGTGCTGCTGACCTCCCACACCGTGCGCACGACAACCTCCTGTCATGGCTAGACAGCCACAGCAGCGCCGCTGCTGTCGTCTATTTCCAAACCGTCCGTCATCGCCAGTGGTTAATCCAGCGACGGCGCTTGTATGACTTTGATACCACTTGTTGGCCCCTGGATCTCCGGCACGGGTGAGCCGACCATTCACCGATGTTGCCGATCAAATACTATGGCTAGATATAGTAAAAGTGAGGGAGAACAGAGCACATATACAGCACAAACACCGGTGTTGGCCGAAGCTATACAGAGGAGATAGCAAAACTGAACTCGCTCTATTTACCGAGTTGCAATGGAAAAACATATATGCAACTCTACCCATCTAATACTAGTACACAGATATGTCAGGCTGCCATGCTGCTACAATGACTATATGTGACAGCAGGGTTGACTTTGACGTCTGCCCCTGCTGTGACTACAGTGCGGCAGGTGAGCCTTTCAGCGCTTGCCCCTACAGCGGCTACCTTGCACAGCAGGGGAGCCCTTTGGGCGTCTGCCCCTGCCGCGCCGTACAGAGGAGAGTAGCAGATTAATTAACACTTGTCAGTTAACTACAACGGGATTTACAAACAGTTTCAAACTCCAAAATTATTAACCGATGAAGAATTTATGCAGAACATGACAAATGTAAGCAATTCAAGAACCGTAATTCCGTGAAGGCAAACCATATCAAGAACGAGCTCCACTCGCAAAAGGGGAGCAAAGAAGACGGGGCGAAGGACGAGGAGACAATTGCAACCTCGCTGCCGTGAGGCTTGTGGTTTCTGTAGCGCCCTTGGCGTCCACCCATGGAGGAGACTTTGTGCAGCATCTCCGTGTTCCTCCCCGCGGAACCCTCCACATCGGGCTCCGGCTTGGGATCGTGCGGCGCCCCGCGAGCTCGAGACCTGTGAGGCGCGGGAGGAGGCGGTGAGCTCGCCGATGCAGGGTGTTCACAAAAAAAGTTCAATACTCCAAAATTCTTGACCGATGAAGAATCAATTCAGAACACAAGACAAGATAAACAATTCAAGAACTATGATTCCGTGAAGGCAAACCATATCAAGAACCAACTGGACCCGCCAAGGACAGCAAAGAAGAAGGAAGCAAACCAGTAAATGGGCGACGGATGAGGAGGCACCCTCGCCGCCGTGCGGTTCGCGGTATTCGTCGCCGCGGCGAATGCACGGGGACGGCGAGGCAGACTGGTGGAGGGTAAGCGACGCTGCGCCGTAGGAGGAGGTCGGGCGGCTTCCGTAGCGCCCTCGGCGTCCACCAGTAGTGGACATCTCGTGCAGAGTCTTCGTGTTCCTCCTTGCGGAGCCCTCGACGTTAGGCTCCGTCTTGGGGTTGGTGGCGTCGAACGCGGCGGTCCGCGAGGGCGACACCTTGGAGCGGGCTGGGGACGAGGCCTCCCCGGCTGCTGTGGGCTCGCCGGTGCAGGGGATCGGGAGGAGGTGGCTGGCGCTGGGCACGCTCGTGCTGCCGCAGGACGAGACGCCTAGCCGGATGGTGACCATCTTCTTGGCTTCTTGTTCTGCTCCTGCCATTTCCGACTTCGAGTCTTTGCCGTTGTCATTGCGTTCAAAAAAAAAAGTCTTTGCCGTTGTCTTGGTTAGTTGCAGAGCGCGGGCGAGGAGGGGAAGATTGGCAGGATGTGTCCGGGCTTTATATGTTGTGAATATAGGATTGCTGGACTGGGCCTCACAGCTGTTGGGCCACGGTATGGCCTTGCTGCACTCTTTACAGATCAGGCCAGGTCAGTACTTAGTATTTCTAAAAAAAAAAAACTTAGTAGTACTTTTTGTAAAAAAAAACAACAACTCAGGTCAGGGACACAGACACCTGACCATGGTTCTCTTGTCTCTTCAGGGTGCCGGCAAAATGCATTCTGGTCAGATTCATAAGGAAAATCTCAGTTTTTTTCTTGGGTAAACTTAGGGTCCTCAATTCTGCTTCAAATCACCACATATTCTGACCACTGAAGAAATTATGCTGTGCCCCCTGCCCTCGCTCGAATGTGAAATTATTCTGAGCATTTCAATACACCAGATTTTGAGCAAATTTGAGTTTCAAGAGATATGGCTACTTTCGGGTCGAAATAGAAGCTTGTGAGCACCATGGACTTTGCTTGTTGCATAATAGTTGAGCTTGAGCACCTTTCCATTGGTCTGTTGATGCCTCAAGCAGTCAAGCATCGCACACCTTGCACCAGCACTCGGCCCCGATGCCATCAGAACTTCCCTCGCAATCCAGAAGCTCCAGTCTGACCAATCGCTTGTAGCCTGGGCTAGGATGGCGAGTCCAGTGTCGGTGACACAGCCGACCTGGCAGTTGCCGTCGAGCGAGGAGACACAACAACAATGCGGATGATCTGGATGTGCGTGAAGCAGGACTGCAGGAGGCTGTTCGGAGGACTGGAGGCTTGGAGGGCGAGGTCGGTGTAGCGTGGAGCTGAAGCTCCTCGACGTCAGGCCATAAGCCCGCTGGATTCCGCGGCGGTGGGGCCGATAGGCGACGAAGGTAGGGGAAGCTGGCAGCAACAGCAGGAGGAGGCGATGCTGCGGCCGTGAGGCGGGGCATCGGGAGGCAAGCGAGGTCGGGGATTGCTAGGGTTTGGTCGGGCAGCGGCGGCACGGGCGCCATGCCGCGTGGAGACTAGCGGCGCTGGTAGTGGTTGGCAGTGAGACCATCTACAGCAACGTCACCCAAAATACAACACTCATTCGATATTTGGGTAGCTCTACAGGGAAATGATTAATACTCATTCGACGTCTTCTCCAACAACACGACCTAAAAGAGAATCTTTTCTGTAAATGGGTTTTGAGGAGAGAGAATGCTCATATTTGGGTTGTGTCTCTCAGACAACCAAAATGAGTCACCCGTATAGGTACTCTGTTGGAGGCTGATTTTGGATCTCTGGCTACCCATTTTGGGTTTGGGTGCCCATATGGATCACTTGTTGGAGACAGTCTATTGATGGGTTTGGTAGCCGAGGCCGCTGTCGCCCAGGCAGTACAGGTCGGGCCCGACGAGTCTTCATTGTGTGGTTGCTCTGGACTTGGACTCGTGTGGATGCACTTCGTTCCACAAATCTCCCTAATTTATATACCACCAGTAAATTAATTGCAGTGAGAGTAAATTAATTTAGTTTAACTTTCAGCCTTATTCACTTCATTATGGTGAATTTGAGTGCATCAAAAAGAAAATCTTATAGTATAACAATGTTTGGTTTCGAGATAAACAAAGACAAACCGTCTCTATGAACAACTATGCTTCAAAAATAGACCATAAAGTCTAAAATATTCTCTACTGTCCAGATAAACTATTGTGTGAACAATCCATAAAAGTCTATAGCAAAGTCATCTATAGCACTCTGGACTAGAATTACACACTAAGCTATTCTTCTACTCATCCCTTTAGGATGAGCATGTTTGTTGCCTACAACAAGTTGCTAGATCTGCATGCACGCTACCGCGGAAGGTGAGGCTTGCTAGAGCAGGGAAGACATCGCGTGTTTCATTTTCTCGAGCCACACCATGGTGGCTTGCAGTGCTGCCTCAACACATGGGCAAGTAAGTTATTTGCAACGAGGTATTTGGTGGCATCCTCCGGCAAGTGGGTGCTCTAGTCTCTCACCCTCCCCAAGGAGGTTCCCTCACTATCCCCCATCGCCAGGTGCAAGGTGATCGTCGCCCATCAGGAGGACCGAGTGTCCGAGCGCTTGGGGCAACAAACGGTCGATTTGGGCGTAGTGGTGGTTAGCAACAAGCGGTGGTGCGCTAGCAAAGAGGAGGCAAGTAGTAGTCGATGCAAGTGACTTTACTGCTCACGTGGATGACCATGTTGGCTCCTGTGCATCCCTATGTCTAGTGTAGTTGGACTTCTAGATTGCATTTAGAGGCATAATCTTGAATTCTATGTTAGAGTTTGCTAGACTTGATATATATTATCCTTGAAACCTTAGTTGTTCTAGGTAGTTTCATGCTTAGCTTTGCAATCTTGGGCAGGAAGGTTTTATATTAATTTTGACTAATGATCTATGCAAATGTGGGTTGGTAATGGTTTTAGAAACATGGTGAATAGGAATATGAGCAGGATGGACATTCAGGTATGATGGTTATGATGGTTTTGTTATATGTTGTGTTTCATGGGCTTGTGCTAGTACATGCTATAGATTCTAAGGATTAGTTCATGTACAAGTAACCCAACTTAACAGTGCTACTATGAGGTCTACATGGCTCTAGAACTGGACAATTAATTAGTTTACAACTCTGTACATTGTTTGTGGTTTGTGTGTCACAAGAGGCCAATAGGGGAACTAAATCAGTGAAACTTTAGTGGGTGTACAGATTGGGAACCATGGCTTTGTAAAAGGCCTTGTAGCGTGACTTCCCCAAACACATAGGTAGTGTTTAGCGTGGTAGAAAGAACACAACCGGTGGGTAAATATGTTCAACCTCTGTAGAGTGTAAACTTATATATCAATCACGCTAACGGTCAAGAGCGGCTTAGTCTTCTTTGTGATTAGTGGGGTCTGGTTTGGTTAGTTTTGGGAATCGGATGGTATCCGATGGTTTGGTTTGGGTGCTCGGATGGCATGTGATGCTTTGGTTCTCATGTAGTTGGTTTGGTTCTAAAGGTGTTGGAGGTGATCACATTTGGTAAATAGGTTACCAATGTGTTTAAGAAAACATAATGAGTTGCTTAGGTGCTTGAGTAAACTAGAGTGAAATTTTCCTTATTTTAAGGCTCATCCCTCATGTCATACTTTCCTACACTTGTGGAGTATATTCTATCCTTCCTCTTTGTCACCTTGCTATCTTACCCAGCTGTTAGGAACTTAGGATTAGAAGATGGAGTTTGCTGAAGACTGTGTTGAGGCTAGATAGGTGTACCCCAGTCCACTGCCTATGGAGATGGAGACCCTACTTCAATGGAACCCTATGTAATTTTCTCTTATATATCCTCTCTGGTCCATTATGTAATGAAGTTACCACATGAGCTAGGAAAGGGCTGGAGCACATCTGAAAGGTCCAGTTCTTCACGTCTGTATGTCACTTGTGGGTCTGCACGTTGAAATGGTAATGGAGGAGATGGTGACATCTGATAAGGTGAAGTCTTCTGACACCGCGAAGAGGACACCTCCTCTAGTGTGGACTGCTGGAAGAGCAACAAAGTTGCTTGTGAATTTTGGTGCCAAGGTACGTACGCAGCACCGTACCATAGCCTAATGGACTACCGCCACGCCCCATCGTTTAACTCACGCACGTTCCAATTTCCAATTGAACACAAAACAATTATGTTGGGCTATCAAAGAGTAGTTAGGGGACCTAGAAGAGGGAGCAGCACATAGTAGACATGCCATTGGGAGGGACAAGCGGGGCTAATGGATGTGTTACATTAAAACTCAACTGGAAAATACTTGCATGAAGTACTGACTTGCAAGCTGAAGGTCAATGGCTCCAGCCAGTGACCGAGGAAGCGAGGACAGACGCTGAAAACGGGGGCTGCAGAATCATGCTGCTCTTGTGAGAGGCAGCTGCAGCAACAGACACAACAACAGCCGCTTATAAGGGCTTCCGAACAGGCCGGCTGAAGGCCTCTCGCTGTCACTGCCGCCGTACCGTTGCACAGCACTAGCAGGATCAGAACTTCAGAAGAACAAGTACAACAATGGAGTGTACCCTCAGGACGAACATGCGACGTTTGACATGGCAAACTAGAGAGCCCAAAGGAGCACTACCTACGCCTTATGCTTTTACGCGTCGGACTGCCATGGTGCCATCACTACAGGAAACTGGCTCTTTGCCGACTGCAATTTTCTTTGCCAACTGTTTTTTTTTCGACACTCGGCAAAGAGGTCCTTTGCCAACCGGAATTTCTGCGATCGGCAAAGCGAGATTTGCCGATCGCTGGCTTTGCCGATCGCCGAGCGAGTTGGCAAAGAATTGCGATCGGCAAAGGCGAGCCATGGTTGACGCCATCCACACCGTCACCTTTTGCCGATTGCCACTCCGTCGTGATCGGCAAAAGCGCGCGAGACTTTATAATCGCCATCCTCCCCAGCGTTCGGCAAATAATTTTTATTTTTTGATTTTTCGATCCTAGTTTTTGTGTTGCCTTGATCTGATAGAAAGTACATGATATATTCCAAGTTTGGGATCATTTTGATTTATTTTGCTATATTAGTAGATTTTTTACATTTCTTTGATATTTTTAAAGCGTCACTCGTTTGAGCTGCGGTACATGAAATAATGGAATCCGTGCGATTGAGAAAATGATATTCATGATGTTTGGAGCATGTTGAGGCCGTTTCGCCATTTTCGCGTGAAATTCGGCCGTGTTGGTGTGAAAACGCCAAACCATTCGTGAAAAGTGTTTTAAATTTTATAAAATCGAAGCGGTTCGAAACACCAACGTGTCTTGTCATTTCACGCGAGGCTGTGGTAAAATTTGAACAAGTTTCGAGCAAGTGGCGGCGTCGGGTGGCTAAAACACGGACATCTCCATTATGTCATGTACCGAGCTCAAATCTGAGTCACGAAAA